CACATATATAAACCATACGGCTCCGATTTCGGAGTCCCCGGCTGGTAGTGGTTAAGAGTCAAAAGAGTCAATAGTTGATAGCTTTCCAACAATTTTGTTCTGGAATTTTAATTCCATTTTCCTGAACTCCCCTGTCCATTTTCTGGTATATTCCTTGTGCAAGTTGTCCAGTTGGCATGTTCTGCATGCTGTGTCACACGCAGACTCTTGACCAATAAGGATGGATTAAACTGTCTCATGTCCAGGTGCCTGAGTGTTTTTTAGGCAGCGGGCATTGTCAAATCACAGCAGGCATTATCAAATCTCAGTACACGGTCACATTGCATGCTGTTGAAAAGGGAAACTTTCCGAGATATTTATGAATGGCTGTTGCGTGATGGTCTTACAACTGCCCCCCCCCCTCCGGCTACAGTGCCTTGGTTTCAATATCAGTAGTGTTTGAAGGATTTGTATGTTCCTTACTCAGGGGACACTGCTACATTCCAAGCTGGCGTCTACCGCATCCTGGGCCGGACGTCTGTGGACATCATCAAGAGCGGGGGCTACAAGATCAGCGCGCTGGACGTGGAGCGCCACCTCTTGGCCCACAGCGCCATCCGGGAGTGCGCGGTGGTGGGCCTGCCGGACGTGACCTGGGGCCAGCGCGTGGCAGCCATTGTGGCCCTGCAGGGTGGCCCCGAGACAGGGCTCACGCTGCAAGAGCTACGGGCCTGGGCCAAGGACCACATGGCACCTTATACCATCCCAACTGAGCTGAGGGTCGTGGACGCAATACCGCGCAACGCCATGGGTAAGGTCAACAAAAAGCAGCTGCTGGCTGACGTTTTTGAATTGGAGTGAAAATAGTGATGTAAGCATGTGACTTAAGATTCAAGATATTAAGTACCACTTTCTTTTCTCCCAGCAAAACCTTTAAAAAGGCATGGAATTGATACCAGGAGTTTTTCTTCCATTCAAAGGCTTCCTCTGTGCCACATTTTGCTCTGTTAAAGTGTCAAATCCTCATTTTTATAACCTGACACAATTTTGCAAGAGGCAGCCACATCTCTTTTAAGTCGGAGTGTGGAATGTACATGCAAATCTGAGCAAAATTCATTTCAAACATCAACCCAAAAATGTGTAAAGCTGACTTCTTCCATCCAAGGCAGATGATGTATTACCATATAGTATGTATTGACTGCATTATCTTGTGGTGGGGTAGAATTAGCCTCCTGAGGAGATCCGTGGAGCATTTTAATTTCCCTAGACGAAAAGCCGAGGTAACAGGTCACCAAGGGAGGTTAGTTTTACTACGCAAGATAAAGCAGTCAATGCCTGTTGTGTAACACCTCTCTCACAGATGTCACTTAATTTTAGAGATAACTGATTAATTTATTCTCACTAAATATAAAAAGGTATATGTAGGTCCAAGAAATTGGTCAATTATTTTGCCAAACTAGCTCTTCACAAAATGTTTGAACCCAGTTCTGGAGTGCTAGCTGGTATTCAGAATACACCAAATGTGTGCGCAAACCAGTGTGCATTTGCACACAATGCCGGCGGTCATGCAGGTGAAGTTTAAATCGCCTCATTGCAATATTGTGTCTTCTGTTAAATCTCTTTCCATAGAATTCACATTTTTCCCAAGGAAAAGTGAAGTGTGTGCTTTAATGTAATTTGAAATCTGGACAACCAGCGTACATCTCATCATGGGGAATTCAATTTCCATCAATCAGGGATATCATGTACATGTATATATAATCCTTGTGGTGAAATTCTGAAGAAATTTCATGACACTGCAGTCAACTGCACAACCACACTGAATGACTGTTGACAGTCTGGTGCCTTTAATATTTGTTGTAATTTAATCTTTCATGCATCGTACTGCCGCAATTTTGATAAAGTAAATGGAGCTATTTATTCAAGGTGTTGTTTCTCTGACTTTTTGGAATTATATTCCAATGCACTGTTGTCTCTGATGATACTTCGTTTAAACCACCAGCTTCCTTTTGACCACCAGCCGCTGTATAACCACAAGCTGGTCATATCTTGAGTATGAGGAATGAACAGAAGATTGGGGGATGTAAGTGGCTCCACAGGTTGTTCTGCTGCCTTGGAGGTCAACCCCCATCACAGGATCAAATCCAGGTGGTGTTCAAAAGCGAAAAATCTTTCTTTTCTTGTTTGAACCTGGCAAAAACTTAAACTATTGATTGCGCCCACTAAGCCATGTGACCTATAGTGGGCATCAAACGTCCACAAACATGGTGTAATCTCAGAGCATTGTTTGTGTAATTTACCAAAACTGAAGCCGACGGTGGGTAAATTACCCTGACAAATGACGTACTATACCGAAAATTGGCTTCATTTTTGGTAAAAAACACTCAAACCACACTTTGCTATGGGAAGACGCCATGTTTGTTGATATTTGATACCCACTATAAGTCATGTGACTTAGCTGGTGCTCACTCTTCTCACTGAAACAACTTGGAACTACTGTTACATATAAACCTTCCAACACCACTGAATGAGAAAGGGAAGCCAATTATACCAGTGGGATTTTGAACCACAGAACTTTCATTTATAAGTCTGAAGTCTTACGCACTGTAAACTAAACCTTTTAACACCAAAAAAAATTTTTTAAAAGGGGCTTCAACCAAAGACTGTTCTATTCTGAGCCTGGAAATCAAGTGTACTTTGACAAAAAAAAACCAGGACACAAGTTTACTTCTGAAGTAATATTCATTTATTGCAGTAATAGAGCATTCATTAAATATGCAAGAAATGTGAAATGATGCTGGCCAAGTTACTAGTACCACAGTTACATTCATCAAGACTGTGATAATTGATTACAGTTAAACGTGGAAATAAGACAACTACTTTTTAACAAAGTGACCCCCACAAAACCAAAAATTCAAAGGAAAAAAAACAACTTTAATAACTGAATAGCCATCTTTGGCACCAACAAGACTGAAGTTCTAATACAAATTGCATGAAGTGTTAATGACAGCCTTACACTTTGGTTCCAGTGTCAAGCTGTTATTAATAGGCAGTTACGTACTGTCAAAGTTCAGTCGTCTCGATTTTTTGACACCATAACTTTATCTCAGATCTAGTCACCTAATTAACACACTACAGATAAAAGTTCACATATAGTGGGATTTCACCGTCTGCGCATATCTGCATCGAAACTGAGGCTCTCTGTTGAAATTTGTTGCGCGCACCCGCAGAGTCCACACAGTACATGGAGTATCCGGTTCGTAAGTGTGACGCCACTTCAGTTTAAACTACGCCCACTACACAAGATACACGACCATCGCAGGTACGTTAGTTCGCGGTCAATTGNAACATACCTTTATGTATTTTGTGTCTTGACTCCTTACTTTCAATCTTCTGATCGTATTAAGAATTGAAGCTGACACATACAGCCTCATTTTCAAACGCGGAAGTGCGCAGATCGACGCTAAAAGCGTCGTATTGGGATCCCTCTATGGACAGCAGGCTATACATGTATGTACCATTTGTTTTACAGATATTCAAAATGGCAGCGGCAAAACAGTACTGCGGTTTCATTCGCTTATGAGCCTTGCTCCTAAACCATCTTCCACACTACTCCACAATTGTGAATCCCCGCAATACGCCAAAATACAAAACTACCCAAAAAAAAGTTACAAATACTGTACTTGGTACCTGTAAAGTTATTCAAGAGAGGAAGACAAGCATTTCTATAGTTGAAAAAGCATGTGTCTCAATTTTGTTATTTTACAAAGAATCAAGATTGATACTGACATGCTGTACACATTCTGGTATAAAGACTAGTTCCCAAAGCTTGCAGGGACAGGTAACAAAGCCAGACACTGCATCTACATCTCTAGCAGCGTGTCCAACAATCTTTGCTGCAGCCACTGCAGCAAAGATCTTGGGTTATTCAAAGTGCCCCGACCAGGTCAAGAGGCAGTGCGCTCATTACAGTTTGCAAAATGAATCTGAACCGGTTGAAAGCTGCAGACATGCAAACATACTTCTTGCCTTTCTTTCAACTAAACAAATTAGCCACTTTGTTTGACTGTGTTTCTGGGTAATGTTAATTGTCATCGCAACATGCGACTGGGCCTGCATGTTTCAGATTATATCATGGGATACATCCAATACATTTACTTCCTGGTGAGGCACACTGGTCAATTGGGCCAGGCCAAAGTAAGTGCGAGGATTCATAAGAAAGTCAAATCGAACGCAGTCGCAATGGCGCAGGGGAAGTAATCGAACACACTGTCGATACATACTTGTGTAAAAACAAAACAGGGGCCCTAGAATGGCTTACAAATAGCACTGTGCACCTGGCACATTGTGCTCAACAATCCAATAAGAAGAATACTATTCAGCATATGCAAATGATCACGCACTACCAGTGCCTCTTGTGGAAGTGGAAAAGAAAATACATGTACAGCACGGGAACGTGTCCAACAAACACAGAATATGAGACCTTACCTGTGCACTGCACCGGTGCATACGGCCTACAGTTTTGTGAGATCAAAAGTTTTTCACAAGTCACAATTCATTACGTTTAACTGGGAGAAACAGTTTACAATTGTCAGTGGCAACATTATTTACGGTGAGAGAATTTAAAGACACCCGGTACAGTCCATCATCTGTCATACATGCATGTGTACATGTATATGTTTGCTCCTTTGAGGCAACAAACGTACTCACAATCTAAAGACTAATAACAAACCTGATGAAGTTTCTGCTCAGCGAAAGCAATATTCTGGAATCTTGATTTCAAATAAAAAATTCCTGAGTTAAGACGTTTTGAACTGAATCTAAATTCGGCTTCACATGCAGTTGAATGCAGCTCTACGGTGTTGCACCATGAACTGACCAATCAGACCCGGTAGTAACTGAGTGCATGCCTGTGTCAACGCTTACCCACACTTTGCCAAATTAAAACCAACTACTGACGGCAATTTGCTAGAAAGAGTTATTTCACAGGGAATGATTTCCCATAACCATCTTTAAACCGAGTATGCTTTTCAATAGTTATTGTGTCAGTTGTACATGTACCTTTTGAGTAACTGCAAATGATAGTCTGTACCTTTACTTAACTTTATCATACAGTGTGCTGTCAATACCGTTGCAAGACCAGGCACAAGACCTGACAAAAGACCAGTCACAAGTAACGGTGAGCACCTACAAAGGAATACTTTTGTCACACTTCACGTGAATAGCTTGTGCCCCGGCTTAAGATGGGATGACATGTTGGTCAAGCAAAGTCTGACGAAGTCTTGACTACAATACTGATTATAAAAGGTGACAAAAGATCAGATCAGATCTATATCAGAGCTGATAGGCACACTATCTCCATTCTCCTTTGTTTAAATTTCAAAATTACAAAATCCATGTCGTGCTTCTGTCAACTATTTTTCTCTCTACATGTATTTGTAGAATTGATAGGTTTTAAGTTATCTTTTTCAATTATACAGTTATCTGCTTCTGTACTCTAATTACTTCCTTATTGCAGCTTTTATGAAACAAAACAAAAAGTAATAATATAGTCAAAATGGCTTATGATTCAAACAAAAATTATTCACAATGCACATGTCATTCTAGCGTATATCAAAAGTAATGAAAAAAAAACTGCATTACTATTGCAATAATCAGATTGCGATAGTAAACCAATAATTTACAGCCTGAACCATGGTAAATATGCAGAAAGGCTGGTAGATAAACTGCCTGCAGTTTATCTTGGATGTACATGTACAAAAGCTCAGCCCAAGACCCTACTCTACAGCTACCGGTGGCTTTCATGTACACAGGATGCATCCACACTATAATGGTGGTGATTCTGAAAAACAAGCTGGCAGTCCAGTTATTCCCAAAAATGGTACGCTGTGGGACAAGGCAGAAACCCTGATCTGTATCAGCCTTCTCTGAAACATGGTAGACACAGTAGGGGGTAAATTTGGAGTGAACACACAAGATTTTGCCCAAATCCTATAGTACCCTCCTACTGTGCCCTACCTAAGAGGCTAATACAAATCAATGCATGTATTATTAAAGACTTTCCACTATCACAGCGGCGTGGCACTGTAAGAATCGAAAGTACGATGAGGAAGAGCTCAACCATGCCAGTCAGAGTGTGATGCCATGAGCAACGAGACCACTGATTGGCCAGAACACACGCAGATCTTTGACAACTCACTCGGGGTTCAGTTTCTAGACAGTGGTTTATCTCCCTGTAGAGGCTTTGCGTGGAAGCCATCTTGCAGGGCAGTTGTTTTGTTCCATGGAGGAAACCTCCTCTGTGCATATCCTGTGGAACAAAAGCACTCGCCTGCAAGATGGCAGCCATGCAAACCCTCTATTACACAATTTGTCCACTCTCGGCACAGACAGTCCCAAAGGATACCGCTGTGGTTGATTGCTTCTTACTGTGCGGAAGTCTGTGGCTGCCCACCTGTGTAAGGAAGCACTAAGGCCTGATCTTTATGGGCACTTGGCATGGCATTTTTGATGAAGGAATATGTGCACAAATTCCTGGCTTTTGCACAAAAAGTTTGCATGACCCCAAAAAATGCTCATCAAGTTGCCAGTCATATTCGCCTCTTTTCTGCAACAGAACGTTTTATCAGCACCAAACCAGCTTACCATTATTGGCCTACAACTGGACCATTTTAACATTCACATTGAAAGAAATACAACCACATCAGCAAGGCAATATGCTGGTACTTGCTATTTCAACGCAAAGCAGTTACCTAACTACATGTACTTGAAGGCTGGTTTCCTATGAAATTTAGACTCCCACAAAAGATGGACTTCTATACCCTAGTGGTCATGCTCAATACGGTCAGTGAGTCCATATATCATACAGTCCAAATTCTGCACTACAGTAACACAGTTTAATCTCCACGCAAAAGCAAATATGAATTTTCATCATCACAGCTAATGTTTGCATTGCCAGAGTGCTGCGACATCAAATTCACTTCACATTTGCACAAAGTGTGCTCTGACCTTTTAGGTGCATGACACAAACAGCAGTGCGAATATGGCATCTTTGCAATTTGCAAAATGAGTTGTTTCCTTAAAGGGGCAAGCTTTTATACACTCTTGCTTGTCTCAGCACAAAACATGAACTATTGACCCTTTAGTCACTGAACTACCAAACATATTCCTAGAATCCTGCCATGCAGTGCCTCTTCTCGTATACATCAATAGCTTGTTTCAATGACTAATCTTTCACGCAGTTTTAAGAGGTGTGACTTGAAAGGAAGTGTAATCAGCACAAGTTTGTCCCAACTTGGCTTCCAGAAACTTTCCAGAAACTTTCAAGCTCTTTTTCCGCCCTTTCCTGTTCTGTTGTTTGTTTACACTTTGGCATTTCAATAAGGTCTGTACCCACCGGTACCAGTGTTCCATATAGCTTTAGGTGGTAGTACAGTGACTTTAGGGTTTTGTTGAAAAAGCAAAAGTATCGAGGCAATATAGATGATGTATAATTTCACTCCAACTTGCAGCTGTGAGACAACTTCTAGGCAATGCAGGAAGTACGTACATTTAGCACCTACATACATGTACAAGTGTTACAGGTTCGTTAACTGTGAACAGCAGTTTTTCGACCATCACATTTTGCAAATACATGTACAATTGTCTTAGCCTACGCCCAACTATATGCGAGTGTGAAGAAAAAAAAATTCCAGTGTGATTGCTAGATTTTTTTTGCAGCAGGTGACAGAGCCTCAGTCCTGCTGCACAGGTAAATGCAGATAAAAACCCAATTTTATAATGGACTAATTTGGTATACCAAGAGCGCATGCTCAGTGTGAGGAGCATGTGCTATTCAGGAACAGCTACACACACGAGCAATAGTCCGTCCTATCAGCACAGCCATACGCTGACTCACACGACCACTTCATTCCTAAAGGACTTTGGCTGTTTGAAATACCAAACTGGCTGAATGAAAGTTTGTGATCTTGTATTGATGTACATGTACAATGTACTTGATGAAATTGTCACAATGCAAGCCTTTTGAATTGTTTTTTTTTGGGGGGGGGAATCATGTACATGTATGAAGGCGCTGCAATATTGCAGTCAAACAGCAATGTTGCAACGACATCTACTGGAGGTCAAATTACAAGTCTGTTCAGATGTCAATGCACACGTTGGGTCGCTAGTGATGGGAACAAACAATGGCAGAGGAATGCCATGTTGTCATAGTTGGTAACTTTGACAGTCGGAATGGCTTGTGAAGACTTGTGACCACACTACAGTCAAATCATGTCCAACTTTGGCACGCATGTCTTTGGTCTTCATGCATATGGGCCATAAACTGACTACGGCATTACTGATGGCTTGAAGTCTCAACGGCTAGCCTGCACACATACATATCAGCAATGTAAGCCATTTCTGTGGAGCCTTGCCTTAGTCACAGCCATTACCTGCTTACCATAACAGAAATGACGCTCAGATTTCTGAGCATCACATTACCCTTGGTCAAGTAAGCTCAGAGACTGTTGCAGATATGTCAACATCGAGCCAGCAAGACCAAAGACACCGGCACGCTTCTGCAAAGAAATCATCACCCCCCTTTTAAATTATTTCAAATTGTTTCATCTAAGAACTGTTTACAGTACATGTACATGTATGTGATTTGCTGGCACATTATGGTCAAATGCCAAACACCGTGTTCACAACAGATTGAAGACAATGGACACAAAAATGATCCGCAAGGTGCGTGTGGCATGTTTAGAAGCACATTTAGGATAGAACCCCACAATCTAAACTATCCTGCAACAAACTTTCTGGTGATTGGCAGTGGAATGACTTTCAAAGTGGGGGGGGGACAGTTGTGGGACCATGAGGCTTCAGACAATTAATAGGCCGATCCATTGAGCCCCACCCCATTATAGGACCTACAAAAAGTGAGGGGTCCATGCCTCCAGTCGGAAAAGGGGGAGGTCAATAACATATCAGGTTGGGAAGTATTGTTTTGCGGTTTTTTTTCCCAGAAGAATGCTGCGATATACATACAGTACATGATCACTGACACTGACTTTCAGGTGCCTACTTGTTTTGAAGTTTATATTGAACTGGGCCCAATTTCAAGACACTGCTAAGCACGCAATTTTACTCTAACTGAGGCTCTGCCAATTTCATGGAGACCATAAGCAGTAAGCATAGCAAATGGCATGCTAATATGTACTAGGACTTCTCAGGAAAATTTTTCTCAAGTGACGGAACAATGGAAATCTCCATGCATGTGCAACCCTTAGCACCACCACTCCAAGCACCGCCATGAATAGTGCTTACGGTTAGCAAAATTGTACGCTGTGGTAAGCACAACTTCTCTGCTAACTGTTCACCAACACCACGACATTGGGCCCTGGAAACTAGCTCAATTCCAGTTCATTTTTTTGTTGTTGTTAATGGAACTGTACTGGGTCCCGTGGATCCAACACCCAAATGCGCCCCTATTCTTTTTTTTTTCATTATTATATAAATGCAGCAATTTCGTACTTACTTTTTCTTTGCCAATTTCCATAATTTTATCAATATGTCTGTACAACTGTACAATGTGAACGTTTTGAGTATTGCAATAGAAAAAAGGTACCGGTACCATAGCATCAAAGAAATTGTTTACTAGTTTACATGGATTAAACGGAATAACCTGTTTAAAACATCCACTTTTATACAATTCTTATTTTTTTAATTTTTTTTTTGTAAATTACTTTGCCTCTGAAAGTCGGAGACTGCTTCAACCTTCAAACACATCTAGGTTAACTGTTACAACTTACATGTATGGATGCTCAGGAAGGTTCTAAGGCAATCAGTGGCCAATTTAGAAATAATTTGGATGTGGACGAATCCAGTGACCGTTCACTGGACATTTCCCAATGATCTCCTTTGATGGTGGAAAGCAATGTGTTGGGTTTTGTATGGAGCGACTGTCACGCAACAGTTGCTCCATACCATACTTATCTTCCACCATTGGCGGGGGCCACCAGTGACAGCTGCTGTTACTGTGATCACCAGATTGTCCACATCACAAACTTTAACAAATATCGCAACTAAAAGTACACTTGGGCGACTCTGCACTGGAGTGTTAAGGAATCCTGACTTGGCAAGTCACTCATCTTATTTTAGTGTCATATTTCTGGCAACATGTTCTGACAAGGGGAAACCAGCAAATTTGCCCAAAGTGGGAGGAAACAGAGCCTTTAAGGCTCTTAAACAGCATGAAACAGGATCAAAAAGCAAACTGATGTTCTGTCAGAGAAACCCCAATTTTTGTACAGTGTCAGGGTGTAAATAAGTATAGTTAAGACAGCCAAAGTGCTTCTTTAATGACCTTGTGAAGTTGTGATTCACAACTACAGTTCATTTGCAGATTTGTATTTTAGAGTTTTCCATTTTGTGTCAATTCCCAACAAGATAGTGACTCCGAGACGGATTCAGACTCACAAATGATACAGTCGCCAAAGTCTACTCAAAAGGCATTTTTTTTTTACAAAACATTGCATCGCATTTCTACTCTTGCATCAAGTGCATGCATATATTTCCATTTTGGCTAATCAACAATTTCATTCATAAACTTACATAACATATATTACGGGTTTTGTAGTTTACTCCCACTGAGCGGACCAGTAAATTCATTGTAAGTAATATCAGGGAAGCTATTATTAATAAGAGAACCTACACTTCGAAACATAAATCATTGAACTAATGAATAATGACCAATTTAAAAAGCAGTTTGGTAGGGGCAGTGATGATTCAAGTTCCTCCACATATTCACTGACAACGCTTTAATACAGGCCTGCTTTATTGTCAAGAGCAATGGCAGTGGGTTTTTTTACAGAACAGCTGAAGCTCACTGTTTGCTGCAGGGCACTAGTGTATAGCCAATCGGCACCAACTACATGTATCAAGTGCCATACATGGCCTGGCTTCAGGGGAACAGCTCAGCAGATTTCAGTGCTTCAGAGTTTCTATCTGGAACAAAAATGTGACCTGCCTTTCCATAACCAGGCTTGAAGCCTTTGCTTTACAGGGTGTCTATAAAAAAAGGAGACCGAAATAAATTTGTTTGTTTCTTGAATGGGAATAATTATTTTGGTAAATGGTAACCATCATTGGTTTAATTATGATGTCCTCCTTCGTATGACATCAAGAAATCCAGATTTCCGTCACAGACGACTGAGCACAAAGTGGTTTAATGGACCAAGTCAGAAATGGCTTTTGCGCCAAATAGCTGTTTTGGTGTTGAATTCGTATTGTCCAGACATAGCTTTTTTGTCAGAATGACCTAATGTTTGCTGAAATCTCCAAAATGCATGATACCATTTAAAGCAAAGAGAACAAGGGCAGAAGTTTGCATTGAAGGAAATGGGGGGGGGCATGTTGAAGGAAACTGGGGCTTGGTTGTGGCAAGAATAAGCCCCTAACTGTGGTTGTCTTTGAATTAATGATTTTGGTAGTGTATCTATACGTAATGCCTGAAGCTGTGCAAACCTGTGATGCATCTGGTGCAAAGCCATTTCAGACACGGTCCATTCAACCACTTTGTGCTCACCAATGTGTGGAAATGTGGATTTCTTAGTGTCATACGAAACAAGACAACACACTGAAACAGATCATATTTACATGCACCATTCACAAAAATAATTAGTCACATTCAAGAAACAGATGTAATTAATATCAGTTTCCTTTATGTAAGACGCCCTGTTTTTTTGGAAAATGGCACCGGTGTACACAACAATGCAAGTTCCACTGTTACTGCCCGAAACTATCAATACCTTCTGCAGATAAAAGTTGCATTGTGAACCACTGCCGAAGTATGAAAACTAAGAATGGGGAGAGAAGTTGTTAAACATCAACATGACCTTCAGCCTGGTTTTAGAATAGCAGGTCACATATTTACTGTAAACCACTCGCTGCCAACACTTTGTGACACTGTAGCCAGTTAGCATATGTCCTTCTTTTCTAAGCAGATTTACAGCTTCACAGCTCCGTGAAGTTAGCCCCTGGTCCCAGACAGCTGGATCACCCCTTCAACCATCAAATGGAAAACTCTGGGTTTTTTTCAAACCGTGAACATTTTTGCAATGATCAAGGGTGAATACTCTGCATAGGGCGAGTACACTGCACCACACAGGGGTGGTGGGGTCTGTTTAGCCAGTTGGTTTTCAGACTGTATCAAAAACTGCACTCAGTTTTGGTTTAATTTTCTTGTGTTGGATTAGAAAGGTTTTTTTTAAACCCTTGCTGTTCCATCTCTCAAAAAGACTTCAATATTCACTTTTCATGACTGCCCCTTGCTTTGCTTTATAAACTCTACTACAGTGGAGGTCAGCCAAAGTCCTCAGCATGGAGGGTATTGGCATATTAGGCTGACTGAACCAAACATTACACCAAGAGAATAAGGGTTGATTACCTACTCCGCTCTCTTGTCTAATCTACTTGCCTGCCAACAGCCTCACCTTGGACAGCTGGGCCAAGATGCCGGAGCCGCCCTCGTCCAGGTCCTGGTCCGAGTAAAACTCCACCCACACGGGGCAGTGATTTGACACCACCCCACCCCAGGACCAGTTGTCCGGTATCAGGGGGTGTGTCAGACCTTCTCTCACAACATGCGACTTACCTGAGGAATCAAAAATAGCAGCATTAACATACATGTACATGCATTAACCCTAACCCTCCTCAATCCTTCACCTGTTGGAGGACTGAGGAGGGTTAGGGTTAACGTCACAAGAATGTAAACTGGGAACAGCAGAACAACCTCTATGAATGCAGGACACCAGCTCTGGGTAAGTTAAGGTCTTCCAGACCTGGTCAGGTAAACCCAACTATGAATGGTTGGCAAACTGGTGACGTCATTTAAAGTTATCTGCATCCTTTGACTGTACCCATAATGCACTGCATTTCCATGAGATTTTAAAAGAGTTGATCATGCTTCACAAGTGGTCTAAGCGTGGGTGCGAGCAACTCATGAAGGAGGAACATGAACTTGCCATGCCTCAATACTTTTACGCATATGGCGATGTGTAGGAACAGGCCAACGAAATACATTTCAACCAAAATTCAATCCATAAACACCGTTCCATACATAATGACTCTTTTACCCTCAAAGGACACTGATGGATTGCAGTGTTTTTCATTCCACTGTTGGCAATGTCGATGGAGAATACAGGAAGAATGTTTTAATCACTGGTCTTTGTGGGAATTGTGTAATTAACGAAAACATGGTATTAAATATGCACAAAAAAGGGACCTTTTCGTGGGCATATCCCAATGCAAACCCAAAGTATTATTCACCAAGAAAAGTAATGTGGCCAGAAATAACATAAGTTGATGGATGCCACTGACCAACAAACAAGTATTTCAAACATGGTCCATATCAGCCGAACAGCGCCCTCAACAAACAGTGCACAAAGCCAAACAGTGATGGACGATTCAGACAGGATGTGCTGACTCACCGGTGTGGATCTTGTCCAGGCTTCGGCTGAACCACACGTTGTCACAGCAGTGAGAGCCCTCTGGGTTCTTGATACTGATGTTGGTGAAGTGGTCGTCGGCGATGGCATGGCTGAAGCTGGCCTTTCTCAGTGCCTTGAAGTCCGGAGCAGAGGGGGCGCTATTGAAGTCACCCACGATCAGGATGTCATTCTCGTCTGACGGCATAATCAGTTTCAAAATGTCAACTCTTTTGAAGTCAAATTTGAGTAAATCACTCTGATAAAGTCTCAAGTCACTCTGGTTAAGTCTTCTTGAGTTATTTTGTCAAAAGTCTGAAGTCACACTGATCGTTATCATACCACATTGCTCAAGACACATGCCATGCTGGTTTAAGTCCTCTGTTGCTTTAGTCCAGTCCAAGGTCACCTGATGAAGTTCTCTGGTCATGTCTTAAGATTCTGTCGTCACACTTCTGGTCACTCTGGTAATAATTCAGGTGACTCTATTCAAGTCCTCAATCACTCTGGTTGTCCTCATTCAGGTTGGTCAAATCTTCAGTAACTCTGGTAAGTCCTGATTTTTTCTATTCATGTCCTCAGTCATTCTGATCTGTCTCCCATCATTCTGTTTAAGTCTCCATGCTGGTAACATCAAGTTTGCGGTCAGACAGATGTTATTATTTAATCAATGCGGTCAGGTCTCAAGTCAACAATCTTCATTTCTCATTAGCCAAGTCAAGTCTCAAGAACCCTGGTCAAAGCTGACCACTTGACCAACATTTGAACAATTCGAGAGGTACAGTAACTGTACTTCTCAGAAATCACTAAGTCTCACCTGGAAGTTGTTCTTCTATGGCATTACTCAGAAGTGATAATTGGTTAATTTCTTCCTGAAATTCAAACAGAAAGGTCAACGATAACAGCCATGTTAAAAAGAAAAAGTGTCCAAAAAGCAAACATCAGCAGCGTCACATATGACAAATGCCTTTGTGAAGCATGCGAAAAGTTGACCAGCAAAAGTAAATCCCTAAGACTCATTTTGTGGGAACCAGTCCCACTTTGCTTACCTCTAGTTTGCCTTTGGAGCTGTTATTCAACCCAGGGAATTTCAGGTGAACCGAAATGAGGACCACGTCCAGTTCCCGCAGCTTAAAGTAGCCCAGGAAGGGCATGCGGGCAAAATGTTTGCCGTTGGTACCTCGTCTCTTCGGAGCCCGCAAGAGCGCACACTCCGAGAGGGTCACACCGTCTGACGTGTTCCACAGGAAACCGTTATACTCCACACCCTGAAATGTACAATTTCATCTGTAATAATTATTTCTGCTTCAGATTTTCTACCAAAAGAAAACTTGTGTCCACAAAACCTGCTCCAATTATTCTTGGTGAGCCCATTAACTTGTGAACCTGAATCGTGAGCATGGATGTCTAATTATAGGGCCTACCTGGAACATCCTCCCTGATGATTCTGAGGTCACACATTTCCAGACGCCCCGTGGGCTCGGCCAGTTGCGGACAACGGCCAACGTTGGGTCATTCAACTCGGCACATATCTGCAGACAATGGGAAAAGACAACTCAACTTTCAGCTGACGAGATAACAGTGCAACATTGGCAGAAATTATGCATCCATAATATATGTTGGTAAAAAAAATTCGTTCTCTATATTGCTATAATGTGTCTAGTAGGTACAAAATCAAAAAAGAGTTTTCCTGTCAATAGAAATGTCAAGGAAAAGGTGTAACTTCTTTTTCCACCCTAATAGCGGTACATGTACTAGCTCCTCTCGAATTCTTGCCAGGAAAACTTCCCTGAATCCTCCAAAAGCCTTTTTACAAACAACCAACAGTGGATTCTTTTGGTTTATATTTTCCGTAAGCATTACATCACATGCAAAGTTGTCAGCTCCACCAAGGAAAACAAGCGGGATTATTTTTAGAAAGAGAAGATACCCCGCCAGTGGGAACACATACGCAGGTTCATGCACGCTTCATGCCAAAATGTGGAGTTGAAATTAACAGATGAAGCAGGTGCACATGTCCCTGAGCAAGTCATTTTACCTGACTTACTTCTCTTCTAATACTGTACCAGTATCTCTATCCAATGGGAAGTGGGTGCCTATGAACAGATGAAGGAAAAATGCGTTCCTTCTTTTTATCCTTATTACAAGCATCATGAGATCCATAATCAAGAGATTTACAGTTCAAATGACACTTTGATAAGAGTGTTTTATGCGCGAGGTACATGTAGATGTAGGCTCGTACAGTACACAGCACACACACACATACTGGTACATGTACATGTAGTTTGTTTTTACGGGCATAAGTACATGTATCATCAAAGTCCGTTCTCATGACAGACATGGGAATTCCTGTGACCTTTGCCTTCATGTAAACACATACTAACCCACTCTGTACACACTGTAGCCGACAGAGTCATGTACGTGTAGGTCTGGGAGTCATGATCAACTTTGCCGAACTTCGACAAATTCAACAACACACAAAAGAAATAATTAGACGAGATAGGGACCTGCTCTGTTAAAGTCAACAGTTTGAAAGCAATCCTGTCTGGTCAACTGAGTTTCCAAAGGCTGATTAAGAAAAGGGTTTAAAAGCATTACCTGTCAGCTTAGAGTAGCCACCAACAAGTCATTCATGTGGGTGTAAACGCCCATTAAATGAAAGGATGAATTTTTGAAGAATTTTGAAAACTGAAAATCTTGAAAATCGCCCGTATGTGTGCACTTCATTTTTAAAAGCACCAGGCAGCATGTGGTTAATAGCATTTCTGTTTAATTTTTACAACTCTTACATGTACATGGATTACCGAAAAAATATATATGACACAAACTTGAGATACATGTATGGATACAAGTACAAGGAATGTGGAAGCACACATGTATGGCTTTGGGGAGACTTATGCAATGGCTGCATAGACTGGTGGGTCTTGTGAAATTTTCCGATTCGTTTTCCTCTTCCAAAATGCCCCAACTCGCCACAGATATTAGTATTGCAATCCAGGTTTGTCTATAAATCCCCCTACCCCCTTATTAGAATAAAAATTTATAATTTCAGCGACCGTTTTACTGCAGTGAATATAAATGAAGGTTCAGAATACGCAAAGTTGCTGGTAATCTTAAAACTGCCTGTATATGTAGGCCAAGACTTTATGGACTGGATCAAACAATCGCCACACAAGCATCAAACAAGTAATCCCCTTGGGTGTATGTAAAATCATATTGAAATCAGAGGATTTGAGAGTGTTAGGGCTACTGTACAAGTGCTTTCGTTTCTTGTTTGTATTTTGCCTTTACTTTTCACTTTGAAGGTACATGAAAAACATGACAACTTGTGCACAAGTTCAGACTTCTTTTTCTTTCATCAATCACGTTTTTTTAATATTAACTGTAATGTTTTAGGAAAATCAAAATTGTAAGTTCAAAACCTTATTGAGATGTTGTTGCCCATAATGTTTTTTAAGACAAAGGACAGATACACAAAATCCTGTCAGAGCAACAAATAAGGGAATAAATACAGTATGTGCTCAGCCATTTTTAACGTGCATTTAAGACCAGCTCAGAGGAATAGATGCGACTAATGCCCAAGCTACAGGCAAGGGCATTATCAGCATTTGTTCTCCTGAGCAAAGTCTTAAAGCACATATTTATTCCCATTCATAACCGGTACATTTTTATTCAGAGAGTCAAAAGAAGTCAATACGATGGATTTCCAAAAATTTTGTTCTAATCTTTACTTTCATTTTCCAGAACAAAACCGGCCATTTTATGGTACATGTTCCTTTTGAAAGTCGTCCAACAGAATCCCCTTCAATGAGCTTAGCGTGCGCGTGCATACAGACTCCTGACCAATCAAACCCGTATCCATGTGCCAACATGTGATTTATGCAGCGAGCATTATCACTTCTCAGCAGGCATTATAACATATTAATACACGGTCATGCGACGCGTTTCAACCAATAGAAAAAGAAAAACTGTCCCAAGGTATTTATGAATACACATGTACATTTTATACATGAGAACACCTGTCCAGGCCATTTGCATGTCAAGGGAACACTTTCTCATTACAAAATTGAAGTCAGGACCAAGTGCGGGGGCAAAATTTGCTCCCTGTAGCGTTTTTGATCCCAATAGCAACCATGTTCCAAAACTTTTGTAGTCCAAACAACTCCATCATTTTATGTGAAAGCAACAAAAGTGACAAATGTCGATCTTAGTGACATTTTCTCTCGCAAAGACAAGAAACAGCAAGAACGACATGGGGTCCACATCCTACTCTATTGGCTGCAGTTGTTAGTCACCATGACAACCAAAATGGCATTCTGCCATTTGCCCAATGCACACATTAATAAACACAGTATGCTCAGTGTTTGTCTGAGAGCTTGCGAAAAAAGAAGTCACAAGCTTACTCAGTTGGGTCTCGAACCCATGACCTCCTGCTTACTAGTCCAGACGTCTTAACCACTCGACCACTGAGCTAGCACTGAGCATACAGTGTTTATTAATGTATGCGTTGGGCAAAGGCAAAACCCATTATGTATTAAAATGGAATCTCCCCAATGCCAAAAAAATACATCTTGAAAATAGTTCGCAGTACCCGCTTCTTCACCTGACTTGGAAAGACCAACTGACCCCGGCAAGCTCGGTTGTCGAGTGGTTAAGACGTCTGCACTAGTAAGCAGGAGGTCATGGGTTCCAGTTCCACCCGAGTAAGCTTGTGACTTCATTTTTCGCAAGCTCTCGGACAAGCACTAAGCATACAGGGTCTATTAATGTATGCGCTGGGCAAGGGCAAAACCCATTATATACATGTAAATTAAACTTTGGTCGTTACACGTTTCTGTAATTTGGAGCTGGAATCCTGGTAGCAAGCTTCGGTCTGCTGATTCAAATGAAGTGCCAATGAAATGAAGGGCCATTGAATTGAAACGGCAATTTACTGAGGCAGGGAACTCATTTATCAGACAATTACATTTGCACCTCTGCACTGTTGTCAGGGGCCCTCTGCGGCAGATCGAAATGGCAATCCACCTGAGAATCAATCGCAATTTATCTCCTGCTGTGCGACAGCTGTCAGAAGATCGGCATCCCAAAGAAAACAACCCATCTCGCGGGTTATTTCTCAACAACCACATTCGTCCCATTGAGCGCGCTCAATTAGCTCGTTCCAATCACCTATTGACCTACCACAAATGCAATTTGCCTGACGCATGGTGTTGACTGAGAAGAAAAAAGATAAATCGTGACAGAGCAAAGGTTACTGTTATCGACCTCATAAGCCAATCCTTGACCATGCTGTCTTCCTACTTTAGCAAAAAAACAAATTCCTTAGATTACATGTACACTGTATATGCTGGTATGGACATGTACATGTCCATGATACATGTACACTCACGTGCGAGTCATTTTGTTTAAGGCTTATGATCTTTTTCTGGTACAAGAAATGCCTAAATACCTTAGTTCACCCTTGTACAGTCACGTGAACAGGTACATGTACACACGTACAGTATGTTTACGTCGACAGGTAACTGACAGGGTGCAAGAAACTATCTAGCCATATAACATGTACGCATACATGTATTTGGCAAGCAACCTTTGGCCAGGCTGATCACTACTGTGTCAATGAAATTGTTACTAATTCTGTGAAAGATAGGTTGATCCGACAGCTGCAATGTGTGATAATAAGACCACTGGAGTAGCATCACCTCTGTGTTATTTTGGAGCTGTGTGTGGTTGAATACTAGTACAAGCAGGATCCTCAAAACGGGGGGGGGGGAGATGGGATGGGCTCTGCATGTCATAACCAGTCAAGAGAGGACTGGACACCTTATCCACAGGATTGTTTCTAAAATAAATTTTGGTGGTCACTAGGTCAAAACTAGAGTTTTTAAAACATACACGTATGAAAAAATGACAGAATGCTAAGCTCGTTTAATGATTAAACTTTGTCATTAAATCATTGCCTGCAATGGACCTTCGGTTTCAGGAAAGCACAACGAAAGGGCTCATTAAAGACTTTGATTTCAGACCTCACCTTCATCTAACTGACCCTCAAAGGTCAGTGGTTATTACAATGGTGACCTTCGCACCCTGAGTTTGTTCTGAAACCAAGCCAGCTTAGCAAGCATCCTCCTGTTTGTTTATACATGAACATACACAGACCGATTTGTACATGTATATACAAACCAGATCAAAATACCATACATGAAAATAACATGCATGTACATGTACATGTACATACATGTTGTATATGTACATGCTCAGTGTCAACATCCTTATATTCACCAATCTGAAAGCTTGCCACTGAAATCCTATACTTGCTGTTTTTGTTTGTTTCACACATAAACCACATGCCCACCAAATGGAGTTTACAGTGTTCAGCAGTACATGGGATGACATTCAGACATTCATCAACCCTCTCACTGGCATCCAATCTGCAGCTGTACTCTATGCTGCCTGAAAGCCAATCAGCATTACTCACGCATCCTCCAATTTCATACATCATCCCACTGTATCTGAGCATATCCCTCATTTTTTTTAAAAAATTGGTCCATGCCCACAACTTTACAAAAACCAATATAACATTGAGGCTTCCTTCCATAGATGACATCACATTTTTGCAAATGAATACATGTGCATGTACATACCAAGACATACATGTATACCTGTACTCATAACATAAAATACATGCAGAAACATACTCATTAGCACAAAAACCAACAAAGGCAGCAAAATACATTTAAAATAGTGAAATAGACATTGAAAACGGGTTAAATCAGACAGCATTTTGAAGGCTTGTATATTCAAAAAATTGCACTGCTGGAAAGACCACAAATCAAAACAGCTGTCTGCTTGACATCTGATTTTTTTTCAACTCCATCATTTACTCACCACAGCTAAGGCATCTCGGTTGGCAATCTCCTGAAAGGCCACCACACTCAACCTGGAGAAGAAGATGTTCCACATATTTCACATACTATGAATGCAATGTGATCAGAAATAAGTCATCTAAAGCCCAACATAACAGAGTGGGTCTTTCCGTACCAAATCATCTGCAGAGGTTGTCCAGCCCCCTCCCCCACCCAGATTTTGATGGAAAAAAAAATTTGTTTGGACATTCCCGAGTAGAAATATGAGATTCCACCAGAAAGTAAGTATTTCCCCCTCACCCCCCAAAAAGTGGTACTATTCCAGATATATAAGAATGGCATCCAATTTTTTATGACTGTCAGAAATTGTCCCCAAGTGCCAGGTTTCATACATGTATATGCAATATCCACCAATCCCTTCCCAGCCAAGGTTAAAAAATTGCCTGTCCTCTCCCAGGAATATTTCTGAGATTGACACCCCTGGGTGCTATCCGAGGCCCTTATTTCTACTGCATCCAGCATTTTGGAAAGAGATGTGTCAAAGACTTGTTTGCCAGTATTATAGTTTAGCGCAAGAACGGGGCCTCGTCAATTTTGAACACACAAAAACTGCCTGCCCGAAGTTGTTTTTGCCTGTACTCAGGAAAGGTGGGGGATATGTGGCCGGATGAGACACTGTGAAGTGCCCTTTTTAAGACAAAAGTATTCAAATCCTTTTGAATACTTGTTCATAAACACATGTTCTCGGTGTTTTCATGACGTGACAAAAACCCGGAAAATCAAAAATATTTTGGTCTGGAGATTTTCCTACCATTTTACTTCATTTGATACAAAGAGCAAATTTGTAGAGTTTGAAAGGAAAATGTTGTTTACTTTCCGAGTACATGTAACTGTAACCGAACAACTAACAAAAAGCTTAGTCTCTATGTTTCTCTGTTTATACGAAGTGACAAAAAGTCACACTATTTGCAGGGTAAAAATGGAGACAATATACATGTACACAATCCCTGCACGAGTTTGGGTGTGTACACATGCGTGCACACGATGTTGTACCGGTAAATAAACACCTGCGGGCTTGTTGGAATGTAATGAAATTTTACAATTTTCTCCCAGGGCACATCTTTTTCACAAAGTGACAAAAGTGTGTGTAACGGAATAGGAAAAAAATAAACACCTCCGGGTTTTTCTGTTTTCACAAAGTAAAAAAACTTTTATTAGTTTTTATTAATGAATTGTTCTTTAACCCTAACTGCCCAAGGGTTGTTGGAACTCACCTTCCCCATTCACACAAAGTTAAACATCCACATGGGACTTTATGCACAGAGGCTGTTGGACTTAGTTTTTCTGAGGTACGCCAAACCCGATGGAAGAGGCAGCTGTCTGGGCCTACCAGACCTATCCCCACAGAATTAAACACTTTACTACTGTTTAATTCTGTGTGGTTGGGGAAGGTTAGGGTTAATTAAGACAATGTATCCAGAAATAAATCTGGATTAGCATTTTCTAAGTCTAACATTTCATGACTTTGTAAAAAGAAATCCTCAATCCGTAACATAAAAGTGGTAGTTTCAAACACGTTTATCTCGGATTGTCCGTTCGGCAAAATTTTGAGGTTTTTGTCACTTCGTGAAAACACCAACGATGTATACATCATGTTTGTCCATGCCCAGAGTGTGTGTCAGTAAACTCAGAGAGGATTTTATGAATTTGTTCTCCTTAGACATTAGTTGCAATTGAAGCTTTAGGACAAGGTTTGACCCACTCCCTTTAATACTCAACTCTATTATGTTTCCAAGCATTTGTATAATCTACCCAAACGTGTGTCAGTTGGTGTTGAATACAAGCAAAAATGTTTTGTTTCACAGAGTTACATGTACCGTACATGGACAAACGTAAAATTTACATATCAGCAAATATGTGACTTGCACCTGAACAATGCTTCATTAAATGTTCCCCTTCATGATCATGCAGGCTTTTTTTCCCCTTTTTCTCAGGCTGAAATAAATTCCGGACAGCCCTTACCTGTTTTCCAATATGGTCATACAAACGACTTCTTTCACACCAAGGTTTTCAGCCTTCTCCTTGCTGAATTGCTGGAGGTTCCAGGTACCTATTCTGACCTTGCTCCTCCTGTTAGCGGCCTCAGCTGATGGCAGGTCAACTACTGGCCGAGCCCAGGCCTCCGCTGATGTCATGATCAGCGGCAAGAAGATCTGGTCGGTCTGCGTTGCCTGGGTGGCAAGCGTCTTGTTAAGGGAGACCATGGCAGTCGACAGCGGTGCCTCGCCAGCATCCTCCGCCTCCTCCGAGTGCAGCAGCTTGCGCATTTCTAGGAAGGAGGGCGTGGACACGGTGCTCTCCGAACTCTCACCAATCAGCAGGTGGTTGCGCATTAGCTCAAACCGGTACGCGCCCACCTGGGGGATCTTGCCCACGTCCGTCAGGTACTGGAAGGGCCCATGCTCTTCACGGTGCTGCACGATGACCTCAGCAAACTCCTGGCCCACGTTCGGCACCTTGGCCAGCACAGGGACTGAGGCTGTGTTCACGTTGACTTTATTCTCAAAGGAGACCTTTGAGTTGACCCGGTGGTAGGAAGTTCGACTTGGGACTTTGTCGAAGTGGGAGGTGACGGCATAAGGGCCGCAGTAGACTTCTGTCCGAAAGGCTTCCAGTTTGGTGGCGCCGACGCCCGACACTAGCACCAGATCTTCCGGTTTCCTGAAGCCCCCGATGTGGTGCCGGTATGAGATGATGTTCCTGGCGATGTTTCGCGTCACCCCGTGCAAGGTCATCAGCTCCTCCTCTGTGGCCTCGTTGATATTCATCAAGTTGAATGTCATGTCAAACTCCTGGGCATTGTAGGAGGCGCTGACCCCTTGCTTGCCCTTCTTGTAGGCTACCCTCTCATTGGGACTGTGCAGGCGCCTCTTGTTGGGACGCCGGCCGCAGCAACTGCTGACGAGCCCCATGGCAGACGCAGTGATAGACACAACACCAGGTCCGACAGGAAATCAATGCCAGCACATTATCTACAAGTAGAAAGCAAATATGAAAGGAACTTCAGCATACATGTACCACCAGGATGATTTTCAAAACTGGTCCTGACCCTAAAACTCATATCCTATTTATCAACATTCCAGTTCATTAAGTTTCAAAGGTCAAACAGCCCCATTGAAGCTGTTCTTGACTGAGTCTCCAAAACACAAAATAATGGTTTTCACAACCACACATGTATTTTCAGAACTAGTGCTCCAAACCCTTAATCGGCATGAGCACTACATGTAGTTGCTCTGAAATCGTTATTTCTTTAGCCGAATATCCACTTTCATGACTTTGCAGTATGGATTCATATACAAACTTGTGTATGTTTACACAGTTCACAAATTCACAAAAAAAATGAAGGGCACGGTGGCATGCAAACACAGGTGTGATGTGAATGTTTCTAAAAAAGAAAGGTTGGTGACTAAGATCACTTTTACAAGCTACTACACAAAGTTCAAAAAGTGAAAAACAACTATGCAATGAAACTCCACCGGTGACGTACACGTCCGTATGTATTATGTATGACTTCAAATCGACACGGTTACTGGGTACAAGGCAACATATTTCCAATGATCGAGCAGCACTTCAGTTCATGCACGTACCTGCATTTTTTTTTTCACTGAAGAATATATGCATGTACATGTACCATCTACTTGGTACACGCACACACATACCGGCACACATGTACTGCTTAAAAAGTTAAGGACCACTTTTTTTCTAACCTAGTAGTTTTTTCCAAGCAATGAGTAGGGTCTAGTTCTTTCATTTTTTTTCTAGATGGTGTTCTCATTGGAATAAAAAAATCTTTTAAAAAAAGTTTCAAAACATCAAATGCACATTTTCAGCAGTAAAATATCTCATATAAACAACATTTACAATTTACAAAATAAAAAGTGGTCCCTAACTTGTTTTGGAGTAGTGTACACACATGTACATGTACTCAGAAGTGATGATACATTTTATTTTGTACTTGTAAGAAGTCTGACTGTGCGCACAGGTACATGTAACCAGGAGGGGAGTAAAGTGATGTGCTGGTTCAATTGTTTTCATGACCATGACCTAGTTTGGATCAGAGTGCGACGACTGCTCATTTTATGCAATGAAACTCCACCGGTGACGTCATCCTATTGTCTCGGTGCTCTATTACATTGTACCAGTATGTTGCATGAGGTCAGGCTTGGAGGCGACCCCTCTCCATTCTTTTGAATGACATCACCTCCATCATTGCGTATGTACTGAATATTGAAGTGGTGAACTTGTGCGAAAAAGAAACACCAAGAATGACAAATTACATGTACATGTACACTGTCAATTTTCAACTTCAAAACATCTGTCTGATCGAGTTTTATAAGCACAGACAAGCAATGGTTGCTACACATCTAGTCACACAAATACATCGCAATCCCCTAACAATATATGAATACCGGTAAAAACATTTGTGGCACCTCTAATGGGCCTCAAGCAGTGTAAATGGACGCATCTGTTGCTCCTTGTACATACAGGTACGGTACTCATGTAGAAGATTATTCTAAATGTTGCCATAACTGCACCATACCTTAGACTGTTTAGTGTGTTTTTAATCAGAGGAACTTGGCAACTTCAAATTTGTAGGCCACACTGGTGTTAACCAAGAAGAAAAACAGAGACATAACAAGGTCATGGAATGCCACTCCTGGTAACCAGTTTATGTGTCTTCTTCTTGACTTCACCAAGAATTTTGTGAATTTGAGTTGTGTACGCGTTCGTGTGTACGGTACATTGTAGGTCATCCTTAAAACAATCCAACGTCATCTTCTTCAAAGCTTGTGTTTTCTACAAAACAAAGATGCTCAGTTCATGCACATCATTGAAGTGTCAGAAAAAAAAGGAACGTCATGGATGGCATTTAAGTCTGATATTGCCACTCGGTAGAATGCCATTTGTGGGCAAGAACAGTGCATATACATAGGTACGGTACCGTACCGTACCTCAGTCATTATCCTCCCAACACAATCTCAAGCAATCAGTTTTGTTTCTCTAATTGACTCTGCATAACATCTCATGCAACCGTCATGGCCGTATGTACAGTACATGTAGTAACTTTGTCCATGTACATGTATTAATTTGCATTTCTTTCTTTTAGTTTTCTATTGTGGCTGTTCTGCAGACATGTACATGTACATCTATGTACATGTAGAGTATGTGCACACAAACATACATGTATACTGTACGTGCATTTTAAAAAAAAATTTTAATTGCTTGTTATTTTGCACCAAAAATTTCATTCAGTCTTTTTTCTTTTTTTTTTGGTGCTGAAATAATTCATTCAACAAATTTCTCCCTCGCTAAAACAGGAAAGTCCAACCTGAATAAAGATGCAAGTACCCACACGTACATGTACATGTATCAGTCAAATTATTAATCACGGTCTTTCTCGTCGTTGATTACAATATGTGCAATCACCTGACAAGTGGTCTAGCGGTTTAATGAGAGCATCCTTCGGCCTGAGCTGACCAGAAACCGGTTAATCAAGATATTTAAGACGTACTAATTAACAAGGTTCACACTTCATGGACAAGTGATGGACACTCTGTCCAACAGTTCAGCTGTGGCTCCATATTACACACGACTCTACTATGGGTAATAGCAACGACCACAAACCAAAGACTCGTGTGTTATGTCAAGTCACAGTCAAATAATTCGGATATAACCTTACTTGTACTTGTACGTACATGTACATAGCTTTATCACTGCACACAGCTAATTTAATCTACACATACATGTAACTCTAGCCCAGGTTGGACGACGTCTACATTGCACTGTGACTAACGTCCTCCTACTATGCGAAATTTTTTTGAACAGTTTTTTCTCACGTTTACTTGGCAAAGACAGCTCAAAATGTCGCTAACAAGTGCCTTGTATCCCGAATTCCATAAATCGTGTGTTGAAATTACCCAATTTGCCCGTGAACAACGTATTTTGCAGGAAATTGTGCGAAACTCCATGCTTTCCATCATGATTCGTTAACGATCTACATGTACATGACGTTCGTCTCGCATGCATACTTGCACACGCACGAAATGCATAGTAACCAAGTGCCCCTTATGCATGCGCGGAAGAGCCATGGGCGTAAAGAAGTCCGAACAGGCTTCCAAAGATACAGCTAGGTCTATTGTCTGCGCGTCTCCACGTATTTCTAATGGCTGAATGGAGCAAAGACCTAGCTCTAGACAACATAACTGACAGAATGTGGTCCGAGCTTCGAGCCCCTTTCACGCATGTGCAAATGCGTATTACCGCACGATATAGGTTGGTCATTAATCGCAACGTCGTCCAACCTGGGCTACATGTACATGTAACTCCAACCATAAAGGGAAACTACAGTGCGTACAGATACAAGCATTTGAGGAATACATGTACATGCACTGTACATGCACAACAACATGTGCAGTGTGATCTCTGATGAAAACCATACATGTATGTTGTTTCCTAACAGGCTAACACCTGCCATTAACCTTAACCCCCTAGGGTGTAAGTAAAATCATATTGAAATTGGAGGATTTGGGGCTGTTAGGAATAGGCTATTGTTACAGTGTACCGGTATCCTACATGTACCGGTACGTGCCTTTACTGAAGCAATAAGGGCAGTAGCTTAAAACCCCACTCCCACCAGGGCCGAGATAAGAAAACAGAGCAGATGCCTTGAAAGCTACATGCATATGCCCCTGAATCCACCCTGGCTCCGCCCCCTCATGTCTGTGAAAAGCTTATTTTGGGCCTATTGCTCGCTGCATGTCTTTATGCCCATACATGTACATTGTATATGTACACTCTACACATGTACATGTACATACATGTATGGGCAGAACGAAGCAAGCACAGAAAAAGTATGAGGACATGTGTGTGAGTGGGCAGCTGTGAAAATGCCACCTCCTCCAGACAGCAGTCTGGTTTGTCCAACAATAATAATCCTCATTGAACGAACTGCACCGAGAAAGGTTTAAAACAACCCCATTAAAAAATGTAATGGAAAGGACAGGTGGCGCTTTACCACAAAACCAAAAATGAATTCATTCAACATCTGGACAGATGTTCATTAAAACCTCCCCTGTGCTGATACAAAGGTTTATATTTGATTGAAACGCATCAAGCTTGTTGAAGTCAAGTGTGACTTTATTATTTTGCATGTGACTACATGCACCTGGTAATTGGCAAAACATTGTTTTTATCCTTGTATTTCCCTCATTTTGAAACCAGACATTTCGTACTGCATGAAAGCAACTGCCAGGTCCGTAGTCAACGAGTCTGAAATCCTCGCGTGTCACCCAGCAAAACATCACCCTTACAAGTTACAGTGCGGTCCAAAGATTTTTCAGTTTGTGAATTCTATGGTGTGGATCAGTTTAAGTTCCCCTTGTATTAATGTACAGCTGCATGCACATACGTGTACACGAAGTTCACTGGAAAGCTGAAGCTTAGGAGTGCCACAGTTATCATTCAACTACCGTAGTATGTAAGGGTACCATGTAGCTGATTTTAATATCATAATTATTTATGCACGTGTAACCAGTGATGCAAGTACATGTACATGTATGTCTGCAACTTTACACACATGTATAACATGTCATGTGCTCAATATAAATGTAGGACTACTATATGTATTTTGGTGTCATCTTTCACATTTTAATTTGTTGCTCTTAATTTCCAAGCCCCACCCGAGTAAAAAACACACAAACAAGCAAACCTGTTACATGCACTATCAATCTCCCAGCCAACCAACAATCCTCTTGCGCACAGTAACCTACATACATGTACATGTACTGTATATGCAAACTACAGTTCATGTACTCGGAAAAGTGTAGTTCAGTTCAAATACAGACCTACAATGTACATGAACATATGTACATGTACACTGTACCTGGTGCACACATGTTGTAGACATGTCACTGTGAAGGCATGAAGTGTGCATGTTCCAGTACATGCAATTTTCTCACACTGCAACAGCTGGCTTATGCCCTTACGGAAGGTCAGGCAGCAGAAAAATGACAGCCCCAAAAATGAAAAAACAAACTCCAGGCTTAGGTTCCATGCAAACAACAGATAAGACAGGTATGCACTATATGCATGAAAACAATTTTTCCCTTTGAAAAATCCTCCAGGGGTACAGGATCTACCATATAAACATGAAAAACATGTATAGAAAGTAAAGAAGAAACAAAATTCCTGTGTTCCAGACTCGATCCTGACATGCCAGTTTACAGAGAAGCATGAGTGCGGATTGAGCTACATGTATCATAATGCCTTGTGGGAAGGTGGAAAGTGAAACCTAACAATCTCGGTTGGGGAAGACTACCATAAAGACAACACTAACTTTCCCTCGAAATGTTTTAACAGCCGTCTCAAAGTGAGAAAATGTCCTACAAAGTGAAAGTTAGCTTAGGAAGTTTCGAAGCATTTACATAGAAAACACTTTGGTTTTTCAGACTTTGGCCTAGGCTAAGTCTCATAAGTTTGTGCACAGGAGCACCGAGTGCTGTCTGTATATGGAGCTCTTTCCTGCTACTAGAGTAGTACTAGATTGGCAGTAATAATTGTGCAATGCCATAACTATGGAATGCTCCACTTTGAAAGTTTTATGTTAAAAATTCCCCTCAGGCTCACTGGACACTATTCATGCAGATCATGTTCAGTGCTGTGTTGTTAAATCAGGAAAAACAATCAAGGACTGGCTGGTATCCTTGCACCATCCATGCTTACCAACCATAAAAGTGATGATTCATTTATAAATAACTTGCAAGAACTGCCTTCCACAATGCCAGAACGTGTAAGATATCAATCAAAAGTCAATTCAGTTAGGCTTACATGATCAACACAGAGACATAGACAGAAGGCCAGTTCCCAACATGCCCAATGGCCAATTGACAGCATTTTACCACAAAATTTCTACCATTTCGAAGTCCTGGTGTCGATCATTTACTTGAAAATATTCTCGTGGACGTGGGTTTGTGCACAATCCTTTTTATAGCTCCATGGTCTGGCCACGGATTCCTTGCGGAAGGAAGACGGTCCAGCTTGGCCTACAGTAGTTAGCGGTGTCCGTATCTCCATGACATCTGTCATTATTGTCAATGACTAAAACATGAAAAGATCGTGGTAGACGTACTCAACTAAAAAGCACGAAAATACTCACGATAAAATGAGACGTACCGGTAGCGTCATCCCGGATAAATTCGTGATGACATTATTTAATTTACGAAACTCGGTGAAGCCCCCGTCCTTAACTGTGGACGATGACATGTGGGTGGCATAAAGTGCGTGGGCTGGTTGGGCACCCGACTTATCACTATGAAATGCAAATAGCGACCTCTGTTGCAGACTTTTCCAATCATGCATGCCATCGTCTGCTTCTGTACTGTGGCTGCAAATCCATTAGATCAGGCTAACAGTTGAAAAAGTACCCGGAGAAAACCCTTCCAAAATGTTTCAAATATGAACGCTCCCCGGAACTAGCTTTAGCCTAGTTTCAGATCACTCTCTAACAAGCATCACTGAGTCATATGTCAATGTCTCACCAATCTGAAGTAACATTCATAAATGCATTTTACTGATGTAATAAACTTTCAATTGAAAACTACGTTGGGGAAAGCTTTATTGAATGGGCTTTCTCCTCTCTATTGCTTCTTTGGGATTTTTGCCATCTGTAGTGTTTCCAGGCAATCTATATCTTATTAACACCTGAATGGAAATATGTTTTCTTACAAAGCCTTGGCGCTTGGGAGTGTGACTCTGTTTTTGTGTTGTTTTCCAAGTTTGCCCAAAATAAAAAAACATTAAATCAAAGTCAAAATATATCCACTCAGTGTTTCAATATTCTTGAAGTGTATCTTGGTTGAAAGTGGTGTTGTAGTTCAGACCCTTTAGAAGTCCGTCACAAGACCAGACAAACCAATCAATAGACAAACACAAGACCCTTCAGTCTGAATTCAAATCACAAGCCATTCAAATGAACTGCAACAAAAGTATTCTTTCGTCATTGTTTACTGTGACTTGCTCCAGGGTCATGTGATGGTCTCTAGGACAGCAGTGGGAGAAAGACTGACAATCATTTGAAGAATTGAATGCAAACATAACATTCAATACTTAAAACACAGAGACTTGCAGCGTTTGGTTCTCTTTTCAGATTTATTACATTATTGTAAAAGCTTTCTCAGAGATTAACTTTCACATCTGAGACACTGTTTTTTTCCTATTGTTACAATTTTTTAAGCATAGTCGCTGAGGATATCTTTCAGTAACTAAACAGTTAGGTTTTTGTTAAATATAAGTAGAAATTCTTTACGACATATAGCAACCCTTGACAAATGCCATGACAAAGAAATAGTCTGGAATTTGAGGTTTGCAGAGAAATAAAAAGCTTCCTAATTAAAGAATATTGAAGAGGAATAACACACTCAATTTATTAACATGGAAGTGATCCATTATTTCATTTTTTTTACTTTCAAGTTACAAAAAAAAAGCACGCACTGTACACAATATATATGAAGCACAATGACCTATTCTACCCTAACGAGTGTCCTTACATTGTCTATGACGAGACTAAAATAATGTACACTCACATTTACATCAGCATTCTGGCTATATAAAGCACACAGAGTTTTTTTCTTGTTTGGCTACCACAACGAAGACAGCTACGGTATTTCTCCAACCGTAAAAACAGATAGAGGCACTAAGTTTTTTTCACACCACTAAGCCAGAAATAACATTGAGATTTGTTTGAAATGAGAATTGTGTAAAACTGACCAACAGGTAGGCTATTCATTATTTCTACATTTAGTTGACGTGTTTTTGTTCATTTTAAGATTTGTATCCCCATTTCATTTCAAAGGCCAAATTCAACGGTCAACACATCATTTATGTTTGCCGCAATTGAATTTATATCTGAACTTTCCTCAGCTTACCATACTAGAAAAAGATTTAACAGATGCAGATATACTTGAAAGTAACATGTTTCTCATATCTACAAACTGATGGTCCCCTCGAAAAAAACGTTTCTTTCAAAACCTTTTCCAGATGATACTTGGGACCAATATCAAACAGCTGCTAAGCACACAGACCATTTGCTTAGCAAAATTTGGTCACTAGCAAGAATTTCATGCGAAAGATGTGTGACTAGTCCCTGCCCGACTTTTGCCTTATGCAAAATTTTGCGACATTTGCTAGGAGAGCATCCATACAGAATTCAAGCTGACCCAAGATGAAAACCCAAGATGGACCAATCACAGCCCACAACACTGCCATTATATTCCCTGATTGGCTAACAGCAGCCATGCCTTTCACGTCCTGTATTCACACAGTTACTGTGGCTTGGCAAATTTCAGTGGACAAATTCAACATGAGCCAAAATGAATGAGTTGTCTTCTCTTTGCTTAATCAGTTGAAGACGCTGTAGTAAAGAGAAATATTGCTCATTTCCTCGATCTCTGAAATAAACTGGCTTCATAGCCTTGTTTACGGTCCTGATGCAATGCAGGTTGATACACAGATTCTCAGCCCCTATTCGAGCCTTTTTGAACTAAAAAAATTGATGGTTAACACATGTTAAATAAAATACAGAAAATAAATTTACAAAAGGAATTATAACAAAAAAATATTTCATGTAAGTGTTGCATAACAGCGCGAGTGTAAGTCTTTTTTTTTTAATTTGTCCCTAGATTTACAGTGCCTGGAAACATCCTTATTGCCACAGTCGTTTACTCTTTTTGTGACAGGCCAAGTAGCTAATCAAGGCTTGATTTGGTCACAAAGCAGCACTTAAAGACCTGCACTTTCCACACACAAAATCTTCCACTTTAAACTCCTCACAAGGCTCAAGTGGAGGACACGTGGAAACAAAACATGTATAAATCTTACACAACAGCTGACATCATACTATAGCGGCTGGAAAAAAAGAGAAAGAGTTCAAGCAAAGCCCTGGCGATGAAAAAAGGTCAAACTCTAAATACTATATATCTATTAATCAGGCTCAACCCCTATGCTATGTCAATATTACAAAATATGAATAGAGTATGTTATTCAACATATTTTTACATCAGGGAAATATAATAATAAGACACATGATCTGAGGAAAACTGAAGTAATTTATTAAAAATTTGTATGAATAAGTTTGGAAATTAACGATTACAAAAAAAAAATTAACATGATGTTTGTACAAAAACATAAACTAACGGGACCCTGTATAAATACACTGCTAGTGACGAAAGCTTGGAGCCATTGGTCACAAGACAAGCTGGGTCACCTTACTGTTGAAATAAATCATACACAAATCAATATTAAGCACTGTCCAAATATACTTTCACTGTGGCCAGTCCACATCTACACATGTGCGACCAGCAAAGTCGATTCCCTAAGATTAACGGTGATAGTGCTCAAAGGGATCCGCCGTAAATTCCGCTTCGAACACGCATGTGCATGAAGCGTGACCTTGCAACTGAAACTGAATGTGGGCACTGCCTTTATAACTACAGGCTTTGTAAAACGTCAGAAGCACTATGCACATGGTTTTGGACGACTTTATTATTTTGCTAAGCATTACTTTTGGCTGGAAGTTATATAAACGAATTATCTGCCTCCAGCAACAAGGGTACAATTCTAAGACAAACAATGATCGCAAATTAAATGCATAACAAACGATTGCAAAAAGAAATGCAGCAACTAGAATGTCTTGTACATGTATGCGTACAAAGGACCATCAGGAGAAAGGAAATACCAAACTAAAGTTACAAACTTCACGTGTCAGAGAAGTTGGATCAATTTTTAATCAATCTATGTATGACAGCACCGCAGTAATATCATGAGGTAAATAAAAAAAATTATTTTTCTTTTAAAACCAATGAAATGTTACTTATATGCCTATCGTATGTGATTTTAAACTATGCAAAAATCAATAATTTCAAAAAGATTATTGATTCAGGTTGACCATCCAAGCCTTTTGCAGAGGTTTACTCATTTGTTGTTAAACACACTTTTCCATAAGGCCAGCATTTTCTCACTTATTGGATTACAAACACAGCACAAAGGTCTGCAAGGTCCAAGAACATAAAATAATATAAAAATTAAACTCTCAAGTTCATTTTTCCCCACGATAAACTTATCTTGGGTAGGAGGAGAAAAAGAAAATGTGAATTTACTCCACTTTTCTTTTTACAAAACACACACAAAAAAACCCACCGTTGGGAATAAACTAATGTCCATTTGTCACATTTTCTAAAGTTGCCTTTTTCAGAGTCGGCAGGTCTGTAATCCACTTTACAAAAAAAAGCTGGCCTAAAGTCCACAATGCCTCTAGTACAATAGTAAGTGCCAACTACAAGCTCTACTGCAATGAGAAGTTGCTGAATTCTACGCCAAAGTCCCCCTGTATTGACAGATTTGCAAAAATAAATCTTTAGTTCACCTGTTCAAATGCTATCCATTTGGCCAAGCTCACCGAAGCATGACAACGTCTCACATTAGCACCACACACACGGACTTCTTTGGTGTTTGTAAATTTCTTCCCCGACTGAGGGGACTCAATGTTCCTCCCTCTAGAAATGCCTACAATGGCGTGCAAACGGCAGTCATCAGAGCTGTAACTTGTGTTTGTAGGGGCGGTTTTTAGTTTTGAATTTTTTTTTTTAAACTGACATGCCACTTTGGTGCAAACATCATCACCTGAGGTGTCTGCACTACAAAACTGTCAAACAAAGTACGACAAATGTATCTGCACTGCTAGCTGAATGGTATCTAACACTGATTGTTGCTAAGGCAACAATGACCATTTGGATGCTTACTTCCCCTTGTTTTTCTACAGAAAACCTATTCCTTCCTGCCCACGGCTGCCTAGGGACTTTAATGTACACTGTATTGTTGTACCGCAACTAAAATTTGCCCATGTCAAAACTGATGAACTAAATGAATCAGTGACAGGAACGTGAATATTCACATATGCAAAGAAGCCTGCGACTATTACTTATCTTCTTTGTAAGCACCATAGGTTTTGAAATACCTCACAACTGTCAGGCAATATAACAGAACTTTCATTCTCCTAGTTTTGGTTTCCCATGTGATGAGCATACCACTCTGTCAAAATTATCTGCACTTTTAATTATCCATGGCATGTCATTGGTGACGTAAGCAGCAATGTAAAAAAAAAACCTGCTCACAATTAAAACAACTGTTCCACAAATGATTGACAAATCAATGAATTTGAATTTGAGGCCACCTCGTCTCAAGATGTAACAAATTTTCAGACGTGGCTAGAGACCTATGAACCAGTCAGTTGAATCTTAATCTAAGCTAGCGCATATTTAAAAGCAAGACCTTTGACCAGTTTCAGACCGCCTTTTTTCCTCATTCTTTTCTAACCATGACTGAAAAAGCCTTTGAACAGCTTACCTTATAAACACCACGACCAATACCTCTAGTTTATAGATACATATTCACTTTGACTATACATGTATACACTTGACTTCTTAGAGGGAATACAAGTACACAAGACCCATGATGTCAACAGGCTTGATCAATACACAGAGAGAAAAAGTATTTAGCCTCTCTGCTCTGCTTCTTTCACTTGCTGTTTTTCAGCAGCTGTCACTTCACAGGAGGGTACGTACTTCGCCGCAGACGAGGTACTTCTCCGAGGGGCTGATCTGCCATCAAAGGTACACAACCAAGTCAAGCACTGGTGTGGAGGTCAGGAAACCAATCATGCCCAAAAGTGAAAGGTCTTGCTGCAAGACCAGAGTAACCACAGCAACGGAGTGACATCAGATGTGGGGCTTCTATAGTGTTGGGGCTTCCATTACATCACACTATAACCCTCTGAATTCCCTCCAAAATGGGAAAAAAGAGGGACGGGTTTAGCAAGTTTTTTGTCTTTCCATCTGCTGCAGCTGCGCAGAAAATTCCAACTATCTATCACTGTTCCAGATTAAGCATATGTACCTACATGTAGACTGGTCACCATTAAATTAAGCTTGAGTTAACGTGTTGTCACCCTAAAAGAAATGTGACAAATAATGGGTGCACATCAAATGAGACTCTAAAACTTAAAACGACACGTTGGAAGATTAATTTCAGTCATCCTACATCTAGAAAAAGGATAACAAAAGTGAGGGCGATTGAGGAAGAGAATATCTGTGACCCATGACCCACTTCTCCGTTTCGATTCATTTCTAATTCCCAAGGGATGCAGAGATGATCATCATGGCGTGGAGGCTCTGCATTGCAGGCACCCAACTATTACGATCAAGACTCTCCACTCTGGGTTTGGGATGCGTGGACGAGAGACACCAGGATGGCTGCCAGCGACCACCTTTGTCTCGTTCCCAAAGGCCACTGCACTGATCACAGTGACTCAGGTCACAGCGTCACAGGCACCTGACTAACTCATGACATGAACCAGGTTCCAGGACATCATAGAGGTGTGCATATACAATCCGAGCTACAGTGGTTGCTGCTTGCGTTGGTGGAAAGGGGTGCTAGACGTCAACTCTCAAACAACAAAACTCTTGATTGCCGAGCGCAAATCACTGCATTACGCAACCAAGGATGAATTTGGTCCGGGAGGACCGACCTGGTCCACATGTCAAGGGCTGTAGGGGTGAAGAACACTCTGTGTCAGCTGGATAGGCGTTAATGGGAGGGTGTGATAGGGTAGCACTAGACGGCAGTCCATTCACTGTGCATAAGATAAAACGAAGGGTGACGCCGGCCTCAAAATATGGTCTTCTTGTTCTTGCTCTTTTTGGGATCTAATGTCCTGTGAAACGAAAAGAAACAAAAGAATGGCGGCTTAGTAGTTATGGAGATGACACAAAACGGTGAAGGAATATTTGAAGGTTAAATCGTGGTCGGTGAATGGTTCAGGAATGTTCGAAGTATGGGGGCGAATGACTGAAAAAGGGGATGGACGAGGCCGGAAATGGTTGAACGACAGCAATAGAGCCTGCAAAGAATGATCAGAGAAGTAGAGACGGAAGATGCAAAGAGAACAGAGGGAATGGTCTGAGAAACAAACAGTCTAGGCACAGGAGCAGTGTACACAACAAGTCCCTACAAAAAATGGATATAGTACAGAAGATAGTAGATAATAACAGTCCAGGGGTGTGGTGCCGAAGTGGGAGGGGGGGCACAAGGTCTAGTGCCCCCCCCCACTTATACAAATGGGGACATGCTCCCCCTCCCACACACACAAATTTTGCATGTCCTACAATGGGGTGGGGCTTAATGGATCGGCCTATTAATGCCTGATGCCTGATCGTCTCCCCCTTTGAAAATCGTTTCGGCGCCATTGGTGGACACATAGAAAAAAAAGGTGAAAGCAGCCAGCAAAAAGTTAAATAGGAGTGACAGAGAGAGCTATCTAATGGGAGCTGACAGGAAAGAGGAAAGTTTGAGAAGCAAGCTCTGATTCAAAAGTGATTGTTGATCGTTGAATGCCTGGAGAGTAAGCAGATGGCACGGGGGAACAAAATGATGACCACTGGGCCCAACTTCACAGCGCTGCTTACCGCAAGCAAAAAATCGGCGCTTACCATAGCAAAAAATTCTGCGCTTACACCGAACGTATTTCACAGGTTAGCAGGGAATTTTAGCTTGTGCGCATGCATACATCCCATAACGAAGGAGTCTGTGCTTAAAGGGTTAGCGCAGAATTTTCTGCTTGAACGGTTGGCGCAGAATGGAGATCATAAGCGTGGAATTCTGCGATAAGCAGCACCATGAAATTGGGCCCTGATGTTACTGAAGTTTGGACCTACTTGGAAGATTCAAGTCGGAGGCGTTGGTTGTCTTCAAAGATCTGTTTATCCTTCTCAAACTGCCGTCTCTTCTCCTCCAGATCTCGACGCTGTTGATCGAGGCTCTTTTTCATCTGTTCCAATCGATGATGAAGCTGTAAAGCAATAACCCACATATCCCAGTCACATATACAAACTAGGTGTATCTCTAGATATTTGAAAAGCCACAGGCCGAATAACAATGTCACATCCTAAAACATGCAATGCAGCAAGTAGCTTGTCCATAGCTATGGTTAATGGCAGAATACCACTGGACAAACTTGCTTCTCTTCGGCTACGGCTTTGATTATTCCTTTCAGTTGGCACAGCAACAGGCAATTGGTGAAATTTCAAACTACCTTAGCCAATTGATTATGTACAGCTGGGTCACTCTATAAATTTGGGGTCCAATTTTTTTCCCGTCCCTATTATGTCTGCATATGACTTTTTAATGTTTAGAAATCATTGTTTGATTCCAAGATTGAATAAGTACTGCAAATTAACTGCCAAACAAATAATAGGTTGAAAGCAATTTCAGTGATCTATTCCTTGTCAAACACGTCAGATGGTATACATGTCCGAGGTAACATGGGCGGAAAAATATCATACTTTGGACCCCAAATTTTTAGAATGACCCAGCTTTATAAAGTGTCAGCTCTGCCCAAATATCTCACAGATAAACATGCTGAGGATGGTTGGAAAATCACAATCCTGAAGACTTCTAAATCAAGGTAAACTTCAGTTTATACACCATTATGCAAGTGCCCATCGATAGGCAATGCATTCTGCAGAGCTGAGAGCAGTTTTAAACTAAATGAAAAGTAGAACTGGAAAGACATACAGCCACCCAGAAAATTCCAGAAACTCTTGAGGACATTGCACGTCCTCACATACAAATACAGTAAAAGCTCAGGTTTCTTGCATAAACACAATGCCACACTCTGTCTGGTACCCCACCTCTTTCTCCGAGTCCTCTAGCTTCTTCTTCTTCTCCTTGACCTTCATCTCGAAGACCTGCTCCATTTCGTTCTCCATCTTCTTCATCTTCATCTCGTGCTCGTGCTTCTCATCCTCAAACTGAGCCAGTGGGTTCTTGGATGCAACCCTGCAGAGGAAATGGATGGAGGATAAAGGCACACAACAACACCAAGTAATCAGCAAGCTTTCACAGCCTTCAATTACACATTTCTCATTATTACTATTCTTAATTTTGGAGGACTTGACATTGTCCTTGGGGATTCCTATGAGCACCTTCAACCGGAGGATTGCCAGTATGTTGCTTGTTGGGTTACAAAGGTCGTAAACCTGCACAATAAAATTCAGTACTTGTGAAAAAAGAAAGTGCCTTAAAATATTCATAGCGATCACTTCAAATATTCAACAGAATTTTCTAATGCAAGAAAGAACTATCTGTCTTAAAAACAAAAGAGAAAAAGGGCGCCGAAACTTTACTGCTTCTTAGTGAACGTGTCACTATTTAAATGACTTTCTTGTGCCAATTCAAACAAAAACATGGCTACTTTGTTAGTCACACTCAACACATAAACATGTGTGCTTTTGCTTTTTAAAGCGTAGGTCAAGATTCAAGCTGTTTGTTTTGAGTGCTGATGAACACTGTATGCTCACAAAAAGAAAGTTTCCATAATGCACCGAAAAATGGAAAGGTCAATGGGCATAAACGGACCACGGCCATGGGTTGTGAATGCGAGTGCACTGGTAGACAAAGTCAAAAGTCAATGTCAAAGGTTGCATCAACACATCAACAGACAGTAGTGCCTCTACACGTCAAGGAGTATTATGAACAGTTAAGTGCATAATACAGGGGATTACCAATACAACGCACCACCAAGAGTTTGCAGCAGACACGCCACTTTTCAAATTTACAGTCACCCAGCTTCTGTGATTGAGAGCACTTTGGTAAGCAACTTGGGAATTTTTGATTTGAGTCATCCTCTGCACCACACAAAATCCATCATTTTCGCTATTTAACACCCATTTTCATTAAGCAATTACGAATTTTCAACCAAGATAAACAAACGTTCAAAAAACTGAAGTTTCCCGTGCACAGCGTAGTAAGTGAATGGGACTTTTGTCGACTAGTTATCCCATAATGCACTACGAAAAGGCCTCTCCCTGACAATCTCTTGGTGGCACACTGCATTATGAATCACCAGTATTATTTAAGATTGCTTGAACTGAACATTTACTGTTGTATGACGGCACTGTACAGCAACTGCTATACCGAATATCACCTGGCAGTTCATTAATTCCAGCTCTGTAACACTCATCAATTGGGTAAACTAACAGAAATGTCAGGCCTTCTTTTCATGGCATTTTTAACTCAACTGGGTGAGTGAAAACAAAAATTGTCCAGTTGAGGACCGTGAGTTAATAAATACAACCAGTCAGCAGTGCCATTACATGAGATCAACTGATGACAAGGATGACAATAGAAGCCCAAAAGGGAAGGTACCAATTCTGAAAGATGCATCCATCGTTCTGTTTCTAGTATTCCTCTACATGGCACTGATACACAAAGTTCCCTTGCAAGAAGACAGATGCAGCTAGACTATGCAAGCACCCAAATACCAGAGGCAGTTGCACTACAACAGTGTACAGGTGCGCCACGGTAGAGATAGGGCTAAAACTAAAGCACTAGCTACTCAAAAGCACAGCAGGCAGAAGGGTCAAAGAAGAATTCGAAGATGAAGGCGTCATGGGAACAGAGATCAGGCTCAGCCACGTCCCTTGCTTACATGCCTTTCATGAATCCAATACTTAATACACTCCACGTACATGTAACTTACCGTTATCCCTACACGCCCAGCCACAGCTTCAGCCCCACCCTATCAAATTACACTGACCTCCCATATGGTAAAAAGCAATCCAGTTGAGTCACACAACTCACTGAATGCAACTCAGCATCACGCCTACCCGAATCAGTGGGTTTCAGTGCCACTCACTCCATGTGAGATAACCCCAACCTTAATCCACACAAACTAGACCTCCCCTCCCCCCACCTTCTGATCCCAATCTCAACGTCTGATTGGCATAATCCCGCATTCTAAGCCCACAAAACTCAACGAAATAATCAACCGATACCCAACACTCTCTTCAAAATGCTGTTCCAGCCCTTTCCTTATTCCCGCAACGAGCCACTCTCCATTTTAGAAAAGACCCACACCAATCCAAATCAGACCTTCTCAAATGAGATGCCAGCCTGCCCCCTTCCCCATATGAAACCTCTCTGACAAAATTTAACCCTCACGGGACTTGTATGTTTGACCAAAAATTATCTCCATTGACTCTGGGGAGGGAAAAAGGTCATGGGATCAGATACATGAATGTAACTAGAATACACATTCTGAATTTGTCTACTACTAAACTGTCCCTTTATCTCTGCTCAGTTTCCCAGTGCAAGAATTCTGCCATTAAAATTAAGAGCCTGTTATTCACCCCTAATTGGATGGCACTTCAAGTGTTTACCATAAGGTTCAGTTGTAGTCAAATATCCAAACCAATCCATTCCCTACAACCACACTTTAGTAACACACTAGCTTACACACTTTTTAAAAGCAGACAAAAAAAGGCAGGAAACAGCTATAAAGATTATGCAGCTCAATATCAAATGCTAAAGAAATGTTAAAAAAAAGAGCATCCCCTCAAAAAAAAAAATCACTCCAGATATCAAAATGAAGAGAAACAGACTGATCTGCTTCTGTAATTTAACTGTAAACTCGTATTGCTGTCTCACAAATCCTGCCATCGTGACGGTGTATTAGTTGCCATGTTGCATTTGGGATGAACGTTTATCACGTGCAGTGCAAATATACACCTGTCCCATTAAATGAATTTGTGTTTGTAGGTTTTCAATGCATTTCCTAGAGTGGTATTATTATTTGCATAAAAGAACAGATTTCAGATGGTGAAACAGCCTTAATCTGCCGCATGACGAATAAAAATTTCTCAGACCCAAAATATCCAGTTGATGATGTTAGTAGAAAGAAACAAAAGCAGCAACTGCATCATGTTCACTCACTCCCTCTGGGGTGGGTTAGTATCACAGGGATGACCATGACACTTATTTTACTGTACTCTTTATTACGGTGGCTACAAATGGTCAGCCTGGATTCAAGGCTCACTGTTGCAGCTATTGGATGCAGGAGATACAGTGATGGATAAGTACCATGTTCAGCCTGTAAAGCATGGTTGTGAATTCCGGAAAAACAAAACGGAGACCCAAATTGAATCATTTCAGTTTTCAACACATTTCCTGCATTTTCCCGAGAAGGACCCCTTCAAAACAATTTCCAGAGGTAACTCAATGCACGTTTGATTTTTTTTCCCAGATTTATTTCTTTTTTCAGGTCAAGCGATTCACAAGAGCCAAAAATCTGGATGAGATGAGGCAACTAGAAAAAGCGAAGTGATTCATATCAATAAGACAAGACGTTGCCAAGAACTGGAGATCACAGAGTCTCCAGTCCTGCAATTGGTGGTCCCTTACTGGTCAACCCTCTTAGCCTGGGGGGTCAAAATTTGGTAGCCGTATTCAGAGCTCTCATCAAAGGAAGTGGTATACCAAAAAAAGGGGTAAAAAAATACAAAAGGGCTAGGTCGTGATCCAAAAGAACAGATATCATCTCACCTCGGGTCACCGGCCACTTCACTGCAACGAAACAAAGCAGCATGCAATTTTACTTGAACACACAGAGGCATCGAGTGAATTCCAGTACCCAAAAGGGGGTGGGGCCAGGGTGGCCGAACAGGGGGACGGGAGTATAAAAACAGACAGCATCCCCCACCAAAAAAAGGTACGCTCCCTCAATTTTTTCTCCAAGGATGATTTCACTTAGTTGAGATAAAGGAACGAGCTTTAATCCTCTTCGCCACCCCTTTTTCTCTCTGGCTCCACCCCCTCTCTCCCAAGGTATATCAGTACATGATAAAAAAAATCTCTGCATCATGTTTTCCCCTACATGTATACTGCAACACGCTCAAAGTACATTTTAATAGTGTTAATATTCGTCCCCAGTTGCCAATCTTCAAAAATTTAGTGCAGCTTAACAGCATTAACAAACCACTGATTTAGGATTTGGACCCCTAAACAACTGTGCAAACATACATGATACACACTACCTTCAACTACCAATCCTTTTGAACTTTACTACATAAGTTTAAAGGCCCTCAACCGTTTCAGTAAGTTCAACAAAGCATCTAGGCCTAATGTAGAACTACGTGATGCAAACAGCATACAGTGACATGCACATGATTCAACTGAGAAAAAAAACAAACAAAAGCAAGTTTTGCCCAATCTATATGCAAAGTTCATGATCCACTGCCGGGCACCAAGCCAATCTTCTTGATTTCTGACCCTTAATGTAACAAATCTGTGAAGTTGCGCAACATTTCTTGCTTGCTTTTCTACAATAAATTTGGACTTGCTGCTGCCATGGATACAGCAAGGTGGTGGTTTTTTTTTTTATGTAAGCTCTGATGAGCTGCACAGGCTGCAACATGCAAAGGAGGGTGCCCATCCACGATCTTCAATCACTTTGGGACATGGCCGGGATACCGGGCGATTGACGCAGGTCAACATCACCAAATCTAGTCAGCAAAATTCTGCCAGTTACCACTACGGGTTATCCAAGACACTGGTCTTAATCTGGTTTCTGAGATTTCACCCTCTGTTCAATGAACCTCATTATTCTACCATCCAGATATCAAACTGTCTCAAACGTCTGGCCAAAGTTTGGTGTAGTTTATTTTGCTCCAACGGTAAGTTTCAAAATGGTTCTAGTGTTTGAAGAAAAGCAGACCAAAGCTGGTAACAAACAGCGAGATTTGGCAAACGGTCCTGGTCATCGCCCATAAACCTCCCCTAATAAATAAAATGGTCAGGGTGCCCTCTTACACATGTTTCAGGAATTTCACGCACAGGAAAACTGAAAAAACAACAAACCATCACAGATTTCCAGACCCCTACCCACAATCCTATCCCATAACCTGAATAGCCCTTCAGCCAATCAGACTCTTACTTTGCAGCTTTCTTGCTGTCGCCTGCCGTCACGGCCGTCAGCTTGCGACATCGGAAGTTCTCATAGTGGACGTTATTCGTCACATCCTTCAGGTCCTGCATGTGTGTCCGGATCAGCATGTTGCGCAGCGGGATGAAATCGCAATGTTCCAAGTTTTCAACTGTGTACAGCGGACAAACACATTAAAGTAGATGATGCTGTACAGGAGACTGTGCCCACTAAATAAATGAGCGTTAACCACAGAACTGACGTTCATTGCGGTAGCCAAGCCCATCACAAGTCCCTGCAAATCCATCATAGGTCAATTACAGGTCACTGAGTCTTGAGTCAAGTCACAATGTTTTCAAATGAACTGTGACAAAAGCATTCCTTGGTCATCGCTTCTTATGACTGGTCTTGTGAATGGACTGGTGACCAGACTCAACTACCATGGTGGTTGAATCTTGAATAGACACTTCTTCTGTTACGACAGTTGAAGAAAAAAATACTCAAAACAAGTGATGGAAAGGAGGGAAGGCACATTACCCTCTGGCAGATCTTTGTGCCTCCCCCCTCAGTGTCCCACCCCCATTTGAAAACTTATGATGTACACAACCTATGCACAAACTGCAGCTCCTTTTCTTTCAGCGCCCCCTTAAAAAAAAGTGTGTATCCCCAGGTACCCCTTCCCCATTCAATCCCAGTTGTATCACTGATTTGGACCTTAGTGACAAAGTACATATCATCAAAGGAAAATAGGGTCAACACACATTGCACTTTTTGTGGAATGGCTCAAGACACTTTGCAAGTAATACTCACAGGAAAAGCTCTCCATGTTTTTTTCTCAAGACTGTTTCATAAACTAACTGGCTTAAAAACTTAAGACAGTTGTGGAGTACAGAACCCTCAAACTATCACCTACTAATGCAGACTTGCTAGGAATTCGAACCACTGATATTACAAAAGTAAAAAAGTTTCTCAAAAATGGAATAAAGACAATACACTAGAGATTTTCTTAAATGGGGTTTATAGGGGGAGTCTACTTTCACTGAATCCAGGCCTACCTTCGGCGACCCCCCATGGATATTGACGACCCCTGACCCTTTTGCCGTTGACCTCCAAGATCATGTTGCTACCTACTACAGCAAACGGCACTCGTTCCTGTAACCAATAAAAAAAAATACAAGATGCCATAGGGAAAGGACTGAGCTACAACTGAAGGTATTTTTCTAGTCTAAACTATTCTGAGGTTGAAGCATGCTATAGAGGTTTTGCATGGCTGACAGTGCTTTTGTCTCACAGGTTATGCACAAAGGAGATTTCCCTGTGAAACAAAAGAACTGCCCTGCAAGATGGCTACCACGCAAAGCCTCCATACAGGTATGCAAGGCAAGCGATAGTTGGGTTGCACCTTTGGTGAGTGTGCCTGGCAGTCCCATTCGGAAGCAAAAAGCATTTGGATTTGAAAAGGGTGTGGCATAGCATATACTGGGAGACGTACCGTAGAGTGGATGATAACAGGTGTAAGATGTGCATGTACAAGAACTTGGGCTAAATGAGAACAACACACTTTTCCATGGGCTTAGGTGGAGGTCTGTGAAGTTCTTAGGAAGCAGAATGACATGCCGATGCCTGTGTATCTGCCTGCATAAATCTAAGGGGCACAGGATGCCACACCAGAGCTCCTGTCTACAGCAGAGGAGGACTAGGCAGTGAATGGTTGAGGGGCACTGGAGGAGGAGTGAAAGGGGTGGGGTTTTGGGGGGGGAAGGGGGCAAACCTGCGAGATGCTTGCAGGGAAAGTTTCTGAAAGGGGTTTTCCAAGGAATCTACAATTAGGCTCGGTTTAAAATTGAAAGTTATGAGGGTTACATGCTTTTCCTCTCAAAACTGACATTTATAAAGACAACAAATAGCCATTAAACAAAGTTGAGAGGATTTTCCTTGAAATGAAATTGATGGTGAGACAAATAGTTTTAGGAATGCCTGCTTAAAGTGCCCTATGCAAGTACCATACCGGTACATCTGGTTAAAATGCATTTCCACCGAACCCAGTGGGCTCTTTCTGTGGCGTCACAAGAAATCGGGCCTCATGCATGCAGTGAGTTGCAACCACTGAGGGTTCAAAAACTGGTCGCCCAAAAGAGGTGACCAAATCCTGAACGGCAATGAGCTGGAAGGATGCGCCAAGCACTACTGCCTGCAGGGCTTGGCCGGAAAAAAAACGGGGACAGCATCACAAGAACGTGGCTGCACTATCCACACACAGTATCACACATGCTTGCAAATGTCTTCCATGCAGCACAGTGCTGCACAGAGCTTCTCAGAAATTTTGAAAACAGCACCTTACATCAATTGGCTTGAAGACATGCAATGCACCACGACACTATGTAAAGAGTCTCCACTTCATGTAACAAGCACACAAACGACAAGGTTTGCAGTTGGGTTTCATGCAGCAACGTGATTTTTTTATTCTCTGCAGATGTTTTGTAACCAGGGCACCTTCTGACCTTTGATGGACCTATTCCCAATACAGTATCACTGTGTAACAGGGATCCCCAGTAAGGGAGCAATGCACAAGTTGGGAATGTTTGCGTTCCATCGGACCCTTCCCCCCCCCCATCATGGGGAGAGTCCGCTTTGTGCACAGACCATTCCAAGGCAGTTTCTGATGGCCACCCATTCTTGAACGTGGACAAGCCATTCCATATGGAACGTTCCAATGTTTTGAATGATCAGACGCTCCCTAATGGCAGAACCACTGTGCCAGATGTCAACATAAATGTCCCACTGACAGTTGTTATGAACAACACATTCACCTGGCACAGTGTTTTTACCATTGCTGGGAGTCCCAATGAGCATACAGCCAATCCTGTCCTGGGACTGGTCTATGGGATGGAGGGGACTACATCTAGAATGGGCAGACAGACACGGAGCATGCACACAAAGGTCAAGTGGTAAAAAGAAAAACTAATCAACAAGCACTATGGTACATGTACAACATGGGAGGAAACAGCTGACTCCTTCAAAACTACTTCTAAATGAAGCTTTGTGGCAGATGTGATGCAACATGACACATTTACTTACACGCTGTGGAAGGAGGGAAGTATGGAAGAGAGAAAAGAATAAAACAGAAAGAGTTTCACAACTGAAAGTCAAAATACATGACAGAGATTGTGAAATCAATCTCCCAATCAAAACAGGCTGCAGAGGCAGCCTCCACAGGTCGGTGGTTTTTACAAGACTTGCTAGAAAGTTCAACTGCTCAAGTCTGATTTCGGTCTCATCTTGGTGGACTCGGGCCTGAGTCACACTGAATGACGATCCAACCTCAGACTCAAACTTACTCAGGCTCAGACTTAATAATGCCACTTGAAAATGTGCAACCCTATTAGGGGATGGATAGAGTGGGTAGAAGTAACAGACTCCAACTCAATTAATATATTGGAATTCACATTTTAGACTCAAGGACCCAAACTTGTATTTTGGACTCAAGATCAGACTCTGTCTTTAATAGTAGATGTAACTGAATAGGAAAAGTGCCTGAAACAGAGAGGTTAACACAACACAGATTAAAAGAAATCACAGAGATAACAAAACTAGTGCAAAAAACATCTCAAGGATTGATAAACATTTCAAGAGTTGCTGCCCGAGCAAACACAAACCATTACACTTGATTTCACATGTACACTTTTCCTTGTACCAAAAACCAGTGGGAAATAATGTACCATTACCCACCTTATGTACATGCCTCTGATAAACTATGACATACTGCCTCCACTTTGCTTGTGACATAGAGCCTTATATTTACAGGCATTTGCAAACAATAATTTATTGAAAGTGAACTGCCACACGACATGCAACAGACACACATGTACATGTATATATGCCCTTATTTGGTAAGACCAAGAAGAATTGCCGCAGTCTGGCATGCTCCAAGCACATAGCGAACACAATGCAACACAGAGACAGGAAACATGACCGCACATGCACGCACACAGCCTAATACAGTTGCGAGGAAAAAAAAAACAATGGTCTCCAGTGGTATTCTACAAAAATAAATCAAAACGCTTGAACAACAAACAATTTGCGCTTCAATTACTCAAGGTCAATGCATGTACTGCACCACAGATGATGCTTTTCTGCTTTTTGCAACTGGCAAATTTGCACATAATGGCTAGCTCTGAGTAGGGCTACTGCAGATGGTTTCCTCATTAGCTCTATTTGTCAAGGTGCATACATCAAGGTCACTACAGGGAGCTCCACGTACACTGCATGCCCAGGTAATGGAAATCATTCATATGACTCATGCAACTCAAACTGACAGCTTTTTTTTAAAATGATCTCAGGGGTTTCCTTTGGATGTCCATAAATAAATGCATGTACAGTACCAGTGACATCAACGACCGGCACACACACACACACACATGAAGTCTTGTGTACATTTCTAAAGGGGGTGGGGAATTAATTTTTAGAGACTGGTGTTGCTTAGCGTCTGAGCATGAGTGCATGCATGGTAAGAACAGGAAAAAGTAATGTGCACAAAAGCCAGAGTTCTCCGATGAACACGGTTCTCAGTCTGGAAATCTCTTGGTTCCACTAAACGCTCAGATCAAAATGGCGCATTGAACGTACGTCTGATTATTAATGGAGATGAATGCAGTGAAGACTAGAAAAACGTGACAGTGAATACCTCAATTGAAAAATAAGAAAAGTTCAGAGTAAGCGTTTTTGTGCTCATTCAAGAATCAACATAAACTCATAAAAAAAGTAACAAGGAAACCCTTATTAAATGTTAGGTTATTGAAATGGCACTTCATGTATACAAGCAATTCGCGGGAGATGTACATGACCATACAATGTAATTGCAGCAATTGATGTTAAAACCTATACTACACCTACATGGTCCAGGTCTGAGGTTGCCAAGGAAAAGCCTTTTTTTTTTCAGTGCATTATTGGTAAAGTCCATGTCTGTGCACTTAATTCGCCCCGAGTTGAAGTGCACCCCCAAGCGGCAAAAGAAACACAGATGGTTGGTTGTACATGTAAGTTTTCCAAGAGGATTCTTGCCCATGTTCTGTGTGTACGCAAACACCATACATTAAGGAATAAATTTGTTACATGTGCTCAGTGTACTCCGCGTCTAACGCGCCATTAATTTCAATTATAAATGCGCACTTATGCGATGAGTACAAAAAACCCGCCCTCTTTTGTTGCGCTAGGAGCAGATAATAGTAACCCTTCTGCATTGGGTCTCGGCATTTTTATGGTTTTTAGGGGGGAGAGCATGCATGATTTAAGGGGACATTTCGTGATTATTTGCGACCGCGGCAGTGTGACGCATTTAAGAGGCTTGCACATGCACATTTATATTTGTGTGGAACCGCAGCGTGTAAACAATGACAAACAAGATGACTGAGTGGAAGACAGCATACACACACAGTGTGTTTGCGGGATACCGACCGTGAACTTTGGCATCTTTGATGCAGAATTCATTGCACATGTGCATGTAGTATGAATCATTCCAAGTGCATTTTATGAGCAAATTCACTTTTGTTCCAATCTGAATTACTGTACACCGCACATCTGATGCAATGCACTTTTTCTGCAACTGACATCCAGTTTTGCACTTTAATTAAGGCCTCAAATTACGCACTGTAATAGCCCCAACATTACAGTCAACGTTCTTGTGGTCCTCTTGTGTTACACATTTTAGCTCTGAAATACGTAAACATTTGAACGATGCAACCTTTAGCTCAAAAAAATATCTCAACTCAGCCTGACACTTTGCTATAAACTAGAGAGACAGAGAGGAATTTCCCTAGGAATTATTGACAACTGCAGGGTGGTGTTGTCCACGACATTGACCAGGCATGAGAAACAGAAGCCGTGATAGAGGGCGACGGAGAGAGGGCAAATATTTTGACATGAGATCTGTCTGACTCTTCTGCAAGCAACGACATGGTCATAGACTCAAACATGATGGAATGCAGTTCCGCAAGGGGGGACACAGAATGTTAAACTTTTCATATCATAAAGAAATGTATGCACAAAAGATCCTTAAACAGGCATACGTATCTCGGCAGACAGAATGGATAGTGTTTCTAAATATTTGGGGCAAAGACGTTGGCAATGTAAGATGCACAGGATCGAATGTGCTAGAGTTCCAATGAGAGCAAGAATGTACCAGCTCACAGGAGGAGAATAATTTAACCCACATATCAGACCTTAAATGTGGTCATGTTTAAAAATGTTGCAAATTTAAATACTTTATCTAGAGTATGAGCCATTTCAGTGTCTGTACCGTACAATACCAACATCGTGATTATTTTTTTTATTTTCATAATATTTATATGGTCTGTGCCATCAGTCTACATCCACTTGGGGAAATTTGTTTATATGACGTGGGGTTCTTAATGCTCTGCTCCAGAATATTATGTCAATTTTTCTGTTGTGAATTATTAAGTTGTATTCGAGGTCAGTAAAGCTCACGCCTGCTGCAGGAATTTTTGGCTTTATATGTTTTCACGAAACAGGTACAGCGTGAATTAAAGTCCATTCATTCGAAAACGTCAACATAGTTAGACTTCTGGTCTCAGTTGACCACCCGAGTGTGCACGCTTATTTTACCATGCTCACTCACCCATGGAATACTTAATACCATCCTTCCGGGAACTCAAAAGGGCAGTAAAATTTCATTCCATAAAAACACCTTTTCAGTGGTTCCTTTGCCCCCCCTATTTTATTAACAAAGGGCATTAAACCCCTGCCACAAGGCAACAGAGAATAAAAAATATTTTGTTTACAAGATTCTGACAGCACTGTCATAGACTTACTGACCGTAAATGGTGAAACTGGGTAAAAACTTTGTGCATGTCATGCAAGTCCACAGGATGTATCCACTCACCAACCCATATTGAAAACCTGACATAGGCGCGCAACAGTGAGCACACACTATTCAGCACAGGTTTGCCGGGCATACAATTCAAAAGTGCTTAAGAATGCAAAGGCCAGCCATACAGTTCAATTTTCCACAGAGCCTTCAAAGCCCAGTGCCCATCTGGGCTGCGTTTTGGCCATGTGGGTTAGCGGGTTAGTTACAAGCCACTTGGCTTCTTTAACCAGTGTGACAGTGGTCACTGAAATTTTGGGGTTGGACCTGGCTTCGGTGGAGGTTTTTTGGATGCCAAAATCCGCCTTTAATGTACATTCTGGGATTCCGAATATCAAATTCTTTGTTACTACAGTTGCATCTCTAGTATTTCCGATAACTCACAGAAGTGATAACAACTGACATTTCAGTGGTAAACTGGAAACAGGATCTTGCAATTTATCTTGATGCCTAACTCCCTGCAGCTTTCAAGAGGACATGTGCTCCCCACGTTTAACCCACATTTTATCCCCGAGGAGATGCATCCTGACAAGATTTACGGCATCTTCTGATGCATATCATCTCCGCAATTTCTGAAATGCATTCCACAGACTTTCAGTGATCCTTACATTCAACACTGACATGAAGCGAAACAGGCCTTAATTTAATGAGGTGGTGTTTTTGTTATGCGTATGTTTGTGATTTTCAGTTCATTTGTTTTGGGTTTTTTTTTAATTACATGATTCATATTTTTAAGTCTTATCATCACAGTGGTAATTATTTAAGCGAAGTAAATTCTCTCCTCTTCTCACTAAATTCTACTTACATTGAATTTCCATCCAATTCTCCACTGCCCATTCAAATTTCAATTTTTTTTTGTATTTAAAAGTTCCAGTTTTAACTTTTACCAATGTGAAAATAAAATTAGAAGCAATGTCATTTGAAAAGTACAGTCAAATGTAGACTGTAGGTCACTGAATCTTTGCATCCACACACACCACCATTCAGATTAATTCATGCAACAGACACAATCCGACCTGTAGTAAAGCAATTCAGGAAGTCAGTATGACCGCAGACCCTTCACGATTAACCGCACACTTGTACAGAACTTAACAGAACAAGGAACATGTTCAAGCATCCCATTCAAACACAAACATGAGAATGAAAAGGCAAATCTGTGTTAGTTGTGCTGCTCAATCCCCCTTCCCCCTCCATCTAAGTGACCCCAACTGACCCCACCTCTGGAAATTCAATTCATTTGACTGGGTGATATCAAAAAGTGAGTTATGACTCACTTACTTTTCTTTTAACTTCACCAACCGGTATGTACGCACTGCAATCTGACAGTTACACAGCCTTCCACTGACACAGCAAGACTATTCATTTCAATACCGAAAATGCCATTGAGAAGACAAGGGAATGAACAGGAAACAGTTTGGTCAGTAAGACATGCCAACATACACAACAGCAAAGCACTCACCTCCTGAGACCAGACTACTTCAGATAAGCCACAACCACAGGACAATACACATGAACAATCAGTACCAACACAAACCTCTCAAAACTGACTGAACTGCCTGAAATTGTTTCCCCTGTTTTGTTTAGCTAAAACGTACTTGACCCTGCTTAAAGACAAACCTCTTTAGGGGGGCCATCGAAAATGTCCTTTAAAATTGTGAGGTCCTTCTCAAAACTCAACGTTTAATTGCTGGAAATCCCCACATACCTTTACGAATCAATTCCAAAACTTGAAGGATGGGTCCCAGGAAAAAATTCAGGCAGTTCAGCCAGTAAATGCGGCAGGAGAGTTAATTAGTGCCCACCGTTTCTGGACAGGTTAGCTTCACCACAAAGACCCCTTTTCAATTTTGAGGGAAAAAAGTGCAATCACACTACCTTCAAACTGTTTGGGGTGTGCTCTTTGTCTTTGGGTCCATTCCTCCTCTGGTGTATGTACGTATGTGCAAGAGCGAGGGAGGGGAGATTTGGAGGGGAGCATAAAGGGTGGGGCAGGGAGGTGAGGTTGGGGGTGGGGAACGGTGCAGGGGAAGGAAAAAAAACAAGAAATGGCAATATGAGCAAACCTTGCAGGCATACAAACAGTGCACAAACGCTTCGATGAAAGGCAAAACAATAGAGTGTGTTAATTTCCGATGATGTATTGTTATAAGGGATTCATGTGCATGCTCAAAAGTTTTTCTGAACTTTGCAAGCTCCTAAGTTCCACACCAAACATTTCAAAACAGAATTTCAAGAGCGATGGAATTTCAATAAAATCCATGTCCTGGATCACTTCCAAAACACAAATACACAAAAACCACTGCTGGATTCAATTTAGGAGGAAATAAAGTTTGTACGCTTATGCTGGTAAGGTATCAAGCAACAAACTCAGGTGTTTCCCAAACTTTCAAAACCGCGACGACCACTTCAATATTAGGCTGACACCCACACGAATCATTTCTGAATGATTTCAAGATAATGTGGAAGCAAAATTCCGACGAGTTGATTGTGACATCCATTCTCAAAACAAAGAAGATACCACACAAGGAGTGTGCAATACCACTTCTCGCACAGTTGAAGTACTGTACCTGTCAACAAGCTTTCCAGGGTACACATGAACAGGTCCAACAATTTTTATCGTTCCTTTCCAGGAAACATTTAAGAACTGCAGATACCGGTATGAAAAACTGGATTTATTGAAGTGTTTCAAAAGACCCCTTTGACTGAAAAGTTTGTGCAAACATAAAAAAGAAACCAGAAAGGGTGCTTGTTTCTTGTAGCGAGGCCAGGCTTAGGGTGAAATGTAATTTTTTCCAAACGTTTCAGTTCACTTCACTAGCTGAAATACTTGTGCTAAAAATTAAGTGTTTGTTAAGACATCAGAAGTGCCAACAGCAGTATTAAAAATGGGTTAAAAATTGCTGTTTCAAGATCCACCAGCTTTTAGCAGAGTCTGCAGGATTGAGGAAGGTAGAGGCCGGCCACTACAATAGATTGGTACATACTTGACAATATGGGAGTTGACAGCCTTGAATATTCAACAACAAAGAATGTGCCATGAGTTTCTAACACAGTGGACGGCTTGAACGGATAAACATGGAAGACGATTCTTTAATACAAAATAAATGCTCTGTCGTTTGCTCTGTGAATTGTGCTCAGAAGAAAATGCTCAATTCATAGGGAATAACAATTAATGAGGAAAAATGTTCACTGGCCCTCTGATAAATTAAAGAGACAACTGCTATTGTTTTTAATATGCATGAGTCACTCATCATGTCTGCAAATTTGGTTATGGCCAGCGATCAAAGCTGCTATCTACATGTACATGTAGGAGTATTTTGACAACCTGCAGTTAACAGCCATATTTGCAAGCATTAGAACAGGCCCGGGTCATCAGGCACGCTTGATCAGATCTCAAGTGATAGTCTGGATCCAGGCCATTGACCTGGTAACCTGACCCCGTGCTTGATGCCAGAGAGAGACTTGTGTGACACATTCCTTTCAGACAACAAGGCTATGAAGAGAAAAATCCCACATTAGCAAAGATGCATTGTCTATCTCATTTTGTAAGAATTCAAACATTTTACTACTGTTCGGGTTAGGTCACATTTCAGTGAGTTAATTAATGTTGTCAAAAAAAAATGCACCTGGCCAAAGAAAGATCAGCTGGTAACCTGCCAAAGCATCACATGATTATATACATTGCTTTTGGCTGGCACTCTCTGGCAGATACTTTCTAATTAAATTCAAATAAAGGTAAGATCACTTTGATCTAAATATGTTGCTGAAGGAATTACCACAAAAAGCAGTGTCAACAATTTCTACATCCTTTATAGTACAAGTATGTTGCCATGTACTGACCACACACCCCCAGAACACACCAAACTACTTGCATCCACTCAAAATCTTTGAAACATTTCTTCTTTTCTGGGATGGGTTATTTACAACTAGATGCAAACTTGACAGCGAGATATTTGTATTATGGCTAGGAAGCCGTTTGTGTCCGGTGTGATGGAATATTCCATTCAGACAGAAGGGGTGTAATACTCACCATGGGAAGCTTTTTATTTTCTTTACTCTCCTCCTCTTCCTCCACATCTGGAAATTCGTAAATCTTGATTTTGTTCTCGTCAATTTCTTTCATAATCTGGAATGCCACCAAAGAGAATCAGCACAGGATGTTACATGTCTAGTTTCCTGTGGACATACTACTCTTGAATCTATCAGTTGTGACTGTACAGTGAATCTGTTCCTAAAAGGGACACATCACTGTTCGAGCAGCTGCCATTCGGCCAAATACCAGTCATTTTATTTATTTAATACATACAATATATTCAGAGCTTAGGTTAGTGGGGGGTCAACTGGGGGCTAAAAATTGGTCAATGATCAAACTTGGAGGACGCTGTCGTAGGGACGCTGTAAACGTCATGTGGGAACTGTGCATGGTACTGTCACGCGTAGGTATCAGTATGTGTGTTTGTATGGAACAAAGTGAGTATGTCTAATTTTCAACTGCATGTGCACAAAAAAGTAGCTGCCTCATCAAAGACAGCAACACACCCAAGTGTGGCTGTACAACCAAATTGGCACTTGATTGTCTTTTGAGAACCTCGACATTTTTTTCTGTACTGCTGATGAAGTGCTTGTCAAAATCAGACAAGAACAGTCCCCCTCCCACTCCCAAACAAAAAAAAAACAGATTACATGAGGGTATAGTCAGTTGACCTGTTTTGGGTAAGAAATATTTCCCGTGCTCAGCAAATTTCTGGCACTTACAAGCTCTATGAAATTGGCCCTTCAAGATGGAATCTGGACCATGCGAGAAGAAAAGGAACCTTCATAAGAGAAGAGTGTTTGGCACGGTTATGTTGGCCAATGTACTCACCCTCTTTTTGAATTCTCTGCACTCCTCTGGCGTCATGGTGTCCGCCTTAGCGATGAGGGGGATGATGTTCACCTTGTCATGTAACCTCTTCATGAATTCCACGTCTAGGGGCTTCAACCTGGACAAGAAGTGGGGAAAAACTAATATCTTTAGATCACCTTACGGTGAAAGTGGAGACTGAGGGGTGGTCCTGAAGTTTTTGTAGACAAATCAATGCAACATTGTAGCTCTTCTCCAAAGGGTGACACCACATTTTCCCTCATGAATATGGACATTTTCATTAGCCTACAAAGAGAAAAGGTGCCGAAATACCTTTTAAAATATTAAAACACAAATTGAAAACAAGGTTACATAAAACAAAAAGATATATTCTCAAGGATCACAGTCTTGAAAAATGGCACTGCATGGATCCTTTAATTTTTTAGAAAGTGAGTCAGAAAGTTTGGGAAGCCTGTATTCCTTTTGCTTTTGTGCCCTTCCCCCTCTATTTTCTTTATTCTTGGTTATCACCTAGACAGGATTTCCCTCTCTAAACTGGTTCAAAATGATCTTACTAGGATGATTCAATAGTCAGTGTGCCTCTCTTGTCAGTGATCGGGGGGGAGGGGGAAAGGAAATTGACAGTTGATAGGTATTAGGAATTAGGGTAACAGGATTTTCTGACACAGCGGCCAAGTGTTAAAAGCCGAAGAACTCCATTTGGAAGAGGCTGCGGATTATACAAGGATTTCCGTTTTTCTGGGTTTCTCATCAATTGCCCTGTTTTTGGCCCAAACTGAGCCCGGGATTGACCCAAATGGCGTCTGAGACCTTAAGCATTGGAGAGCAAGAGGATTTCGATCTCCCCAGAATATGCATGAGTCAGCCTCAACAGTGATGCACTCTCTGACCCCAGAGGAGACCAACTTTGACCCTCTCTGCTGCACGCCTGGGTCACACTTGTATCAGACAGAGTCTTGACCCCCAACTCTGAGGGGAGAGGGGTTGAAAACAAGGGGGGAAAGCCGATCAAATCTAAACAAATTAATTGGACAAAGTTTGGCTCCAAAAGTTCACTGTACCCTGTTCCCACAGCAAAGCACTGAGAATGTTGTTAATGGCCTTTTACCGATAGTATTAAGGTACTCTCACAGGAGAATTCAATTGCAGTGACTATAAAAAAAAAAGCAGCTTAACAACGGATGTCAGAATGCGTAATGTAAATCATTACAATACAGATGCATAACTGATGTCCAAAAATATATTCCATGCATTGAGTTTGAAATACTAGAATAAAAGGACTAATGGTGCTTCATAAAATCAATGAAGGGCTAAACACAGGTGTACATGTACGGTACATCATGCATGTTTACGCTGCACTCTTGAGAGAAAAACTATGGGTATCCGGTACTTGAGTTTGGAACCTCTATATATGCCATGGCCTAGTTTGGTTTCAATTTGGTACACTTGCGGGACCAGTCAATTTATCTGATCACTATCATAATCCACATACATGTATGGAATTAACTACACCCAAATATGACATGAATAATTATGAGGGCCCCCCCCCCAAAAAATAAAAAGTAATGAGGTGTCCACAAAGTTTACAAAAAACAGATTTCAAATTTAAACTGATGCTTGGGAGGGGGGGAAAGTGGAGCAAAAAAAATTCAGTGACCAACGAAGGAGACTGTACATGTACATGTATTAAAAAATGAATGCCCTTCCACACTGTGGGAATAAGAATGATTGATGAATACATTCATGTGTGATTTACAGATCACCAAAGTCTCTAGTTTGACCTCTGACGAGTCTGACCTAATCCTGACGAGGGCCCCAAGGAATATAAGCTCGATTAGGAAATTGTTGCGATGCCTCATGCACCTGTGTTATTTCTGAACGTATCGCATAATTTATGGCCCAGCCCCCCCCCCACAAAAATCTGATGAGTTCATTCGCTCCTGCCAGCTGTGCTCTGTGGGCAAATCGAGACAGTTGCACTGCAAATGGCACGGGCCCAAATTAGAAAAATTTGCAAATTGGAATAAGTTGGTCGAGACTCCTCGACAACTTACATACATATGTCATTCTGTCAAAATGCTGTAATGTACATGTAATGTACATGTAAATGTACACACAGCAAGGCATTTACATGCACAATTAGTCAGTAGCATTCTTGGGAACAATGCAGAAGAGAGTATTCACATTTTGTATCATTTTTGGTTAAAAAATAAACAACACTCAATGCAATGACCGACACAATTTCTTTTCCTCTGATCAAACAACACTGCATGATCATATGTGTATGCTGACAAAACTTGATGCTCAACAAAATGTACATGTACTCAAAAACTGGTGCAATATGTCTATGGGTACTTCCAGAACTTGGGGGGCCAAAAAAGTGACATTTTTGTGCCCCTGTTACATCTTACCTTTGTTATTTGACATGAAAATGTATTAACGGAATCGATTTCAAACTATTACTATTTGTTTGGCATGTAATTTGCATTAATTCATCACTCTTGGAAATTACAAAAAGGTGTTCTGAACTTATAAAATCATACAAGTATGTCAGATGTGACAGGGAAACGAAAAAAGTACTTGTTAATGTGACAATCAAGAGACTTGATTGTTTCAAGGCATTCTGGGAGCAAGGCCGCACACAAACTGCCTAAATATCAGAGAAGGCCACCGGCCAGAAAATAAGTGTTGACATTAGGGGCTAGATTTATGCCATGGGAATCAATGTTTCTCTCCTTGGGGATACAGTACAATCATTAGATGGTGATGAACATGGTGGAATAGTGCTGGTCAGAAGGAATGACAGGCATGTAGGAATGTCTATACTCTGTGCCCACTCGTACAAACAAGGCTTGCTTGTTTGGAGAAAAACCAAAAATATGTCAGCATATCAACCAAGATATTTTTGTGATTGTGGTTGACCATGGGAACATTCTGGCTGTATGCATGAGAGGAAATAATGTATGCACGTTTTTAACATTTTGACATAATATGCCAATTTTGTTCGACATTTTGAAACAGAATCAAATCATAATAAATCTACAGATGTTGCAGAGTGCTAAATGTGTCTAGCATACAACTGGAGATTCAGAGAAACCAAGGCCATTCTAACTCGCATGAGCTTTTTTCTTCTTCTTCAGTATTATCAGAACAGAAATGGGAAACAAAAATGAATTTGACCAATCAATCAGAGAGTGCTGTCTTTTTTTTTTTTTTTACTGAGCAATTCCTGTGTAGAAGCCAGTATGAAATACATTGTATGCATGCTGAGGGCAGTGACAAAATATTCACATTTTATTTGAGTTTGTTGTAAGGTGTCAAGACTTATCTTTGTTTTACAGGGCAAGACTTCCAAAAAAGGAGACTGACCCACAACTAATTTTCACAATATTAGACATGGTTCACACTCTACCAAAAACATCTGTCCTTCACACCACGTTGAGGCAACTCGAAACCTCTTGATGTCACAACATTTGGCATGTTAAAGACATCAATTCTACAGCACCACCTCCAACAACAAACCACCAGGGGATCATAAATACAATTGCAAGTTACATGTACTTCAGCAAGTTTTTCTTCATCCAAGAAGTAGGCATCTACATGTACATGTACATTGTACACGTACAGTACAAGCCCCACATGTTCGGCAGACATAATTTTCAGACTAGGTCTGGGGCAGAAGACCAGAACATCCTGTATGGTCTCCCGGGGGGAATAAGGGTTAATCCTTACCAAGTACGTGTTGGTAAAACATTTGATGGGAACTAGTATAAATTCAGAGGGCCTTCAAACCAAACTATCAGTAGGCAGCTAGGTAGCTTAACATAAAATATGGCATTTGAGGTGTCACTATGACTGGTTAGGTTTTTCTCTTTAATGAACATCACTGAGGAAACAGCACCGTTTCTAAACCTTGCTGTGCTTTGTTGAAGAACAGGATGACTGAATTTTCAATACTGCACACTAAATAAACTGAGAGACAAGATGGTCAACTTCTCCACCTCTGGTCTGGTGCAGGAAAATGACCAAACAAAACAGGGTACGCAAACTACCCCATTCATGACATCAAGAACACTGCAGACATTCCAGTCCTCTGGTCTGAGCAAGTAGCAGATCAAGATGCCAGCACAACTGCCACATCCCCGTCTCCCATTTTTTAAACCATTCCAAGGGAAATGTCTTCCCCTTTCAACCCTGATTTCATCTTTGCTCCAAACTTTTGATCCAATAACTTTCATGAAAACTATATGCCCTACTCCAAGTCTGGATTTAACTCCACTTGGGACACCTTCTTCCATCTGTAAATGCCTGACACTTCCCCTTTCTGTAATGGATCCATCACTGTGAGCATTGCTCACAGAATAAATTTCAAAGGCCAAAAGAACATAGTTGCCCTGACGTCTCCACGCCTGGGTCTTGATCCTGGCGGGTTGACAGTCAAGTTTTTTTGTGGCAACTTACCCGTGCCCTGACGGAGCTATGAAATATAAGCAGCAGTGTACTCTCTTGTCCACGATGGACCGTCTGTTGACCCGTGCCTCGGCATTCAGGTATTCCTCAAACTTGCTGTCTATGTGGTCTAAAATTGGCTGCCAGCTGAGGGCCAAATTCAAAACAAACAAAAAAGTCACCAAAAATGTCCGACTCAAAACAAAAATGAGCAACTTACTCAATTGAGGTACAGAGACAAAAACAAAATTAAAGCCTGCATGATTTGATACACATAATAGAGGTTTGTAAGCCTAACTGAAATCACCCTACCCCTGTCAAAGTTGGATGGGTTGTCTCTTTACTGAACCCATTTTTATACAATTTCTCTGCCATCCTCAATCCTGCCATTTTTCAATGCCCATTTTCACACACCCTGTGGTGTTAAGGTTCAACTCAAGGCGGCATGAGTCCTTACAGATACCACCAAAATTCCAATAAACCTGCGTTGTTCCAACATGTAACCATGTCTTTTCGATACAGCCTTAACCCTAATGTTTTCTACAATTTCCAAAACCTCAAAATTCAAGAATTCAATCCCTAATGCTAATACCTCCACTTCTAAACCACAATCTTGACTTCTGGCTTTGAAAATGGTGCTTCTCAAACTATATGAATTTACAATATACTGCACGGTAAAAATGGTGCAAGTATAAATGTTGTATTGCCAAGTGAACCTCGAATAGTTAACCTTCATATTTTCAAACCTCATTTTTCTGGACCTCATTCTGAAGTTTGCCACCTCAGACCTCATACTCCTCAGAGTCGACGCCACAACTTACCAGTTACTATTATCGACCTGGTCTCCAAAGCCTGGCGTGTCAACGATTGTGAGCCGTAGTTGGACCCCGTTCTCCTTGGCTGTGACCTGCGAGGTTTCAACCTATGTCAAAAACAGAGGCAACATACAAAGCAACATTTGTAATACTTGGCAAGAGCCTGGGAACTAATCAGAACAGTTTTTGATCACGTGCATCCGTGCATTTATGAGTTTCACATGTGTACTTAAATTCACTTACAAAGTAGGCCTACTTATGTCCCAACTTCAACCTAGAGGTTTTAGTACATGAGTGGGCAATTAATTTTTCTTGTTCTCATCAAGTACCCATAAAAATTTATGCCCATGCAAAATTTACAGCTTTGAGGTAACAGTATCCGTGTTCATGTGATACGATACGAGCATGCTCATGAACACATCAAAACTATAATGTACAGTGCCATCACTCATACAATATGGTGAAATTAAATTTTGTCAAACTGCAGCAAAGCCACCTAATCACGACACAAGACGCTACCTGTATTTTACACTGGTGTACCGGTACAGTGTACATGTTACTTGTATAAACTTACCCAAAACACTCATATACAGTTGTATGTGTACATGGTAGCCTGCATGTACAGAATACATGTACAGGCATGCACAAGTTGTATGACTAAACCTATGTACAGGTACATGTACATGTACAGTACTTCATTATGTACATGTCATACAAATGCCAGCCTCTCCCCAATTTATTCAGCACCACTTTCATGACCCATACATGTAAAAATATCACAGGACTGTGAACAAAAGGCTCTCTCTTGAAATTACCACTGATAGATGGCTATTACATTTAGCTACAGATGTACATGTAAACACAGGGGAGGAGCCACAGGGGTCAGTCTCTCCTCCAACAGGAAACCCTAACTAGGACTCATCATCACGTTCGTATTCAGCGTGTGGGCCAGATACGTGTCGGTCTGCTCTGTGTGTTGTGAGCACCCAGGAAGAGGGGCTACTTTATGGCAGACCTTGACTCCTGGCAATGACAGGACTGAACACCTTTGTCATGGGATTAGGCAGTGCAGGAAATTGGGCCCATGAACCAGACAGGTTGTCAAGTTTGCCTCGGAGGGGGATAAAACGTAATGCAACTTGATGGCTGCGTTACACATGAACAGTTGTGAGCACTAAATTTAAAAATGAGTGCATCCCATGAGATTGCCTGCGCCTACGGTACACATGTACAAGTACATGTTCAGTATATGAACACCACACACAGTGTACTTGTAACTAGTTCATTCACATGAACATTCATGGCACATACAACAAATAGTGACAAATATTAACATACAATGTACATGTATGTACATGTACACACACCTACAGTAAATGTACATGCACTTTGGTAACCTGGTCATTAACTCACTGGACCCGCCAGATATCACAGAGCAACACCATACCCAAGTACTGCATCTCTTCACCCGACCGGCAAGGTCGGACAACACTATCATTCAAAAACAACACTCCCCAGGTAACCAGAATGGTAAATCCCCTGGCCTGGGCAGAAAATTGGCCAGTTGGAATAGACTTAGGGATCAGCTCTCCAAGTCCTGAGTGTTTACAAAAATTCAACAAGGCTCCAGAGCCAGAACACATTCACATGTAAATGTGTCTTTTGTGTGCGCGGCACTTTCAGTTTGCGGACAGTGATTTCTTGAGGGGTGGAGGAACATCGAGCTTGCCCGTTGTTATACTCGTGAGTGGGTAAGAATAGATGAGTAGACTTCTTATCGTGAATGTTTGTGTGGCCAATGGAAAAGGAAATTACATGTGTCACGTGTGGGTACAAGTACAATTTTTATTCTTGATGTTCATGTTTATATTTTCTTTTCAAAATTTAATGCAAGCAGAAATTCAAGGGATGTACATCTGATGATCGTACATTCTACACAGTTACATGTTTCATTCCCCCACCCACAGTTTCCCTAGAATATGGAATTCTTTACTGCCACTTATCAAAGACTCAGCTATTTCAACCTCCCTTCCTCGATTCCTAAGTTAGGGCTCTCAAACAGGCTTTCTTATCAGACACGTAATTCAATCTATTCTTTTTTTTTTCTGGCTGTCACTTTGATCACCTGTGTGGGGACCGTTGTTTTCTTTGTTCTGTATAATTTGTCTCATTAACGTTATGTGCGGAGGGGGCTGCATTCCCGCGGGTAATAGTAGATTATTTTACTTTTGCAGTCACTGACCCACATAATTGTTATTTTGTCTTGTTAGATATTTGGATTTTTGTCCCTGGTCCCTGCTTCTGCTTATATTTACTTGTATGTGTATTTTTGTTGTTTTTTTATATACTTTTTGTTCAATTTTGCTTTGTCTGTTCTTGTGATGCTCAAATAAATAATAACAATAATAATAACATGTACAGTATACAGTGTAAGGAAAAAGCTCGTCATGAAGAAAAGAGCATTTTAATCCACACATTCAGTCAGTAGGTCCTAGAAAACAGGGTGTTTTATTTTGGTGGCCAAGACACTAAAATACTGTGGAAAACATGGCGAGAAAGTACATGTATGTTCTTGTAATGAAAGTCCAACCAGCCGTTTCAGTTATTTCAGGAAGGCGCTACTCCGCACTAATAAGCCACAGATATTCATTCACAGGTCTACCCCCTTTCCTTTTTCGACCTCATCCCCCTGCTGACACCCACACCGAGAAGCCCCAACTGCCTCATTCAGGAACCTCACCCCCACTCTGGCCACATTATCAGGACAGGGAATTCTGGCCCCCTTTTTGCCAGCCATTTCATTGCCTGTTATTACTCCTTTGTGATGGGTCTCAGCATGCATTCTAAGGTTTCACAACATACTGGAGAGGATTCTCACACCATTATACATGTAGTGGGCCACGTAACTAAATAAATCAGTTTCTTGTCCATGCCTGCTTCCTTCTTTCCTGTCTGTGCCCTTATTTGATTTTTTATTGCAACATAATTTGTCCTTTTTTAACAAAATATGCTACAAGTAAAATGACAAATGTCTATTTCAAATATCTATGTTAAAATGCAACTGAGAAAATCCATCCTTCATCTTGGACAAATTTTCCACCTTAAAAAAAAAGTCTTCCTTTTCTCAATAAAAAAAATCCTGGATGAGAAACAGTCACATCCTCCAAGCCTAACTTCATTCATCATCAACCTAACAATTGCAACAACATCTCTTGCTCAGGGACACATGCATAAGGATCATCTCACTGGGTTTTTAATCATCCCAAAAACTGTCTTGCAGCTGTGGCTTCACTTTTCGCCACTGGCACCCAACAGCACCAGTAGAAAACCGTGACCACAGACAAGAAGGATCATATCAGACTCTGCCTGGCATCCTTAAGGGGACCAGAAAATTTTCTTGGTGCAGCGAGGGCCCCTTACCTGAACCGTTTTCTTCATCCGTTGCGAGGGCCCCGGGTACTCCGAGGAGTAGATGTCTGTCAGGAAGAGAGAGTTGATGAGTGTGCTCTTGCCAAGACCTGCTTCACCTGAAAGAGCAAGACAGAGGAAACAAGTTCATAAATACCAGCTCTATGCTGATCTCAAGTTGAAGGGGGAAAGACGGATGCTTACAAGAGGCTGTGACAGACATTCAAATACTTACAGCCATTACTGAATACTTAAGTACTTATTCTTTCTCCTTTTTGTTCAAGACTTTCAGAATAATTTGCAGCCAACAAAGGGAAAAGATGACACAAGCTGTTTCTAGCCATCAGATGTACATGTTGTTTGTAAAACTGGAAAGTGGTTCAGTGCAGGCCTCAGATCGTTGCTGACCCAAATAATTTCTTAATATCATACGGTACCAGAAATTCAAGTTAAAAATTACCCAAATTAGTATAAGAGTAAGGCGTGTTATACATTTCATGTCTCTTTTTCTCCATTCCAAAATGAAATGTCAAACTACATGTACAGGTACTGTACATTATCAAACTCGGTACATGTATTTGCCAGAAGAGAAATTTTCCCATCACACTGTCATCATGTTCACAGGCAATTTTAGGGCACAAGTTTCACTTTTACGACAAGTGCTGCCACTTACAGGCAAACAAGGCTTCAGCCTGTACAAATCAGCCCTAACTTTCACATCAACCAATCTTATCACCTAGCCGTGATCTGAATCCATTACCAACCGATCCATAAACACAAAAAGTACCACTGAAGCAATCGTCATTCATAACCTAAATATGAAAACATCAATCATCATCCTAATGCATGACCTGGACACAACATCACTTATCGACCAATCACAAATTCATAACTTTAAAAGCCTTTTTAAAACAACACATCTCAAATTCTGCCCATAACCCAGGGCCAGACAACCTCACGTCACCTTCCATTTGCCTAGGGCCTCCCCGGGTGCTGCCAACATTCGCGAGATATTTAATAACTTGCACAGCGGGGCACGCGCCGTGGTGCGTGTGCTTGGGCTGTTATTGCAGAAACCCACTGGATATACTGTACATCGGATAGTCTCGGCTGCTACTTGAAACAAAAGACTTGAAGCATTAGTGATCGATTTCCGTGAAGATGAAAACCATGATACGGCAATCTTCCATTTACACTTCAAGGAAAAAGCTACTTCTATTTGCTCTTCAGGTTATGCAAACTCTGATGCTTTTGAATGGGCTTTCACAGTTCATCACCTGTTGAAATAACACTTCATACAAGTCAAGTAAAAAGTGAAACAGCTTGCATGATGTACATGTACTAGTCAGAATTCAACAACTGCACACCGTATAAAAGGAAAAATTTTGTAGATGAACAGACACATGGGTATACATAGTCTATGCAATATGTACATGTAGATGCTTGAAAAAATGAGACTCACCAAACATGTACATTAAACATACATGTACATGTGCATGTATATTGTGATTGTCCTATGAAGTTCCAAATATGTACATGTATGTATCCAAACTTTGGATCAGACAACCTGCCTTGACGTTCTAATTGCATACCAGTAGGGGGCCTACATGTAGGTATACATACAGGCAAAGGCAAAGATATAGGTGTACATGTACATGTACCTGCATAAAAGTTATGCACCATTCATACTAAGTACGTACATGCCTACTATAAAATGTTTAACGCGTGCATGAGAGCACCAGCAAAGCTCATATAAATCAATAGCATCTGACAGATTGAACACGTTAAAGGGGCACTTTGCTTTGTCCAGTCAATTGGAGTCCACAGGAGATTAACACTGCATTAAGGACGCCTTTTCTTCCAATGCCTTGCACTGGTCATGCAAATGGACGTGTACACTGTACGTGTAAATGAAAAGGGTACGGTACAAGTTTTTACAATGTGACACGACAAAAACTGCCCTACATGTGTGTTCCAAGGTTACTCCATTTATTGTATTATGGAATGACATCTGACTCAACTCTGCCCACAGTTCTTCATGCCTGCAATGACTTCCTAACACCGGTACATATGTATATTATTCTTACTATAGATCTGTACATGCATGAAATTCTGATGAAGTTTGTTTGAGACCTTCCAAGGATAAACTGCTGTATGTGGCTACGGCTATTCACTGTAATGGACCAATGGTAGAAACCAGAGTCATAGCCAAAGGACAGGCATTTGGGACGTGTGTCCATGTACCGGTACGTGTACATGTTGAGGTGCACAGGAGATGTAATGTGACTCTGATCACAAACATCAACCACCTGAAAATCCATCACTGTAATCATTTGTTACTGAAAAGGAGATCAAACATAAGTGTCCATGCAGGAAAACTGCAATCCTACACGCACTGCTCATTTCACTGCTGAAAACTGTGTGTAAATACATCAAATATTGATTCTCGTAGCATCTGTATTATTATTTGTAATATTCTCAAGCTTTAAGTTTGGCACTGTTTTTAACTATTTTTTATCTACATGTAATATTTATGTTTTGATGTTTCATCAGGGCCTCAGTCTTTGCTTATTGTATTGAAACATTTTCAATTTATATTTCCTTGTAAGTGGTTTTAAAACCTTTTTGAAAATGATTTTAGTAGTACTTCTTACTTATTATCATGGATACCGTGCTATGCAAATTTACTTCATTATTATTATTATTACATGTATGGCGTATAGTATCCATACATTAATTGAGAATGTTGTGACTACTAGCAGACAGCTTTTTGAACATTGTTTCACCAAAGCTTTACACTGTCGTACCGTATGGGGGAGGGTACCGTTGTTTGTGGAACTGGTTTTTATAGAATTTGTACTTCTGTCAACCCAAAGCAGGAATAACCTTTTATCATATTGTCCAAACCCCCTCCAGGCAAGGAAATAAACTTAACCCCAACGGTGCATCCAAAAAACAAGTACAAAACAAAAAAATATGTAAAAATTTTTTTTGTTACGGTATATGGCGCTTGCCCCTTTGCAAGGTGTCAAATCAAGGTATTTCACCCTTCGATGACTCGTTACAGTCCACTGACCACATGGAAACACAAAACATCCACGAAGGGACTTTGGTGCCCCCCCTCCCTTTTGCGCAGAAATCCTGGAACGTGCCCTATTTGGAAATCATGCATGCCAACACGTCCACTTGCACTTTTCCTTTTGGAGAATGAACTTTAAAAAGAAAACTTCTGAGGTCACTTACAGCACACACAAAACCACAACAAAACCTGCTTGCGGTTTCAATGAATAATACCTGCTCTGCATTAACGCGTAGGACTACATATAAATGTGGCCCCCCCTATTAAAAATATTAAAATGACTTATTGGTAAGAAGAGATCCCTAGGAATGTGCATGCTTCTAACCACAGACCTTGAATGCTGCAGTGATCATTACAAGTAGTATACACATGCGCCGTGCAAGGTTGAAACAAGCAAATTTTGCAGCGTGATTCGCCGACTTTCCCCAGTACTCGACCTTTTTTCTGTTGTTTAAAAAAGGTTGACTATATTTTAATCTTTATATGAAAAGAACAAGTGTTACCAAAAAAGTCTCAAAGTTTATGCACACGTGTTAGTATCAAGCAGTGACAGCGCACACAACAGACATGCCTCTTTTTTTTCTTCAGCACAAGTACCCTTTTTTATCACACAACTACCGGTAGAAGCAAACCTGTAAAGGCATCATGCGATGAGGTCTTCCTGGACATATTTTTTGTCCTACTTTATACACGGATCTTGTCTTCAGTGTACTGTATGAAACATATGTATGAGCATAAAAACAAAAACAGTGCCAAAATAAGTTTTGAAGCAGGACAACAAAGACTGAAAATCTTTGTCAAAAAATTGTACCCTCCTTATCAACATGATTGTTTGGAGTCCACAAACCTTTTTTTTTTTTTTCTTCTGAAATCCCAACTAAATTTGACTTGATGGTACGATGTACATCTACGTACACGTACATTATACATGTAACACTGTTTTTAAATTTGAGTTCATTATCAGTAGTCGTCTGTTTTGTTTGTTTGCCCCTTTTGCACAGTCGGGATGAATTACCGCTCCCTTGATCATTTACCTACTACGTACCCTTTCTATCCAAATTTGAGATAGTAATTTGAATTAGGTCTGTCTCTTCGTCAAAGGTGGAAATGTTTTCACCACTGCACGTACACTGTTCAGTACAGACAATTGATGCACTCTGATGATGTCAGAGTGCATGCTCTTGAGACCACATCCTGTACTAACCCTTTTTGTGAAAGCCACTTTTTTCACTATCAACAAAGATTTCCATTCTCCCTTTCAGAGTGGCACAATAATCCTTGATTGGCTGCTCCATAAGAACTTGCACAAACTCACACAAGCCCGTTGAATGCTTGGTATTTTTCCCGCTGAACTCACCGTCCATTGTGACCATTCACAGAGTCGGAATGTTCCATTGTGATTTCAAGGTTTCTCCCCAATTCAAGGTGCAAAACTTTTTTTCTTGGCAGGACAATCAGTTTTCAACTATTGCGGGATGTGTGATTTATGGAGGATTAAAGGGTCCACTTTCGGAACACAGAGCCCGTGGCAAATCTCAAGTACTTGTAGTGTGTTGGTCAGGCATAGGATTTTGCTGTTTACTTGTAAACACATCTTGATATGGCGTCCCAAAGCCACAGGTTAAACTGCCCAATTCTAGCCTTGCCTTACAATGGGTCTGTAGGGGTCCATCTACTCGAGTAATGTAGACATGTGTAAACATGAACATGTACCGGTAGACATTGCATTTATAAACACACTGCATCACGAACATTGGGCACAATGAGCTCTGAACAGGAAGCGATTTCAGCAGTACAGTATTGGCCATAAATTCTCAGCCTAGAGCTCCTATACTAGCATGGCATGATCTAATATGTACATGTACATGTATACGTGTACATACATACTGCAATTGTGGCCATGGTAAACCATACTACACACAGACCAGCGTATAGAAGAATAGACTTGGACTCTTTGGGTCTTTTTATGAAAACTACATATGCACCAGTAGTTTATTCCCAAATACAATACATGAGCCCACTTTTCTTGGTGCTGCCAGA